CTGTGTCACCTAGGTTCTGCCTATGTTTATCTGATTCTTTGGGGGTTGTTTCTCTGCCTTCATCATGTTCTAGATGGTTCTCTATGTGTAGGACATCTTTAAGTATCTTTTATAGTGCTGGTTTGTTGGAGACATATTGTTTCAATTTTTCTTTGCTGTAGAAGTTTTTTATTTTTCCCTCAGTTATGAAGGAGAGTTTAGCTGGATGCACTATTCTTGGTTGATAATTGTTTGTGGCATACTTCATTTAGGCTCTTCTTGCTTTCATGGTCTCTGATGGGAAATCTGTAGTTATCCTGATTGGTTTTCCTTTATAAGTGATTGATCTTTTCTCCCTGACAGCTTTAAGGATCCTTTCTTTGGTTTCTATTGATCCTTTGTGGATTACAATGTGGCAGTGGTATGTCCTATTCTGGTCTGGTCTATTTGGGGTTCTAAAGGTTTCTTGTATCTGAATGGACCTATCTTTTTACATATTTTGGAAGTTCTCTGCTAGGATTCTGTTAAATAAATTTTCTAGGCCTTTGGCTTCTGTTTCTAGGCTCTCTTCTACACCCATTAGCCTTGACTTAGGCCTTCTGATGGTGTCTTCTATATGCTGAATAGATCTATCATATTTTTTGGATTTGTTTTGAATACTTGTTTGTTCTTTCTTTATAATGTCTAGGCTGTCTTCTATTCCAGAGATATGGTCTTCTGCATGGTCTAGCCTACTGTCCAGACTTTCTACTTTTTTATTTCCCTTCCTTCTAATTGCTCAGTTTTAATGGCTACAATTTCTTTGTTGAAGCTTTGTTTTAGATCTTGATGGATTTCTTTGCCTCCTTGGTTTGGTTTTCTGTGTTCACCCTCAAATCCCTTAGTTGAGTGGCTATATTTTCACTGGACTCCCTTTCCTTTTGTTGGAATTCAGTCAGCTTTCTGATTGTGAGGTTCAGGAATTCGTCTTTTGTTTGCCTCATCATGCTCACACATAGCCTTACGTAGGCTTTCAATTTTTTCACTCAGCATGTTTACCAGTATTGTTTGTAAAGCATTTTGAGAGGTATCCTCTGGATTTTTAAATTAACTGCTCTGCTGCCTGTTTATCCTGTGTGTGAGTTGAAATCCCTTGACTTGCCATCTTGTGTTTCTGTGGCTTGTTCTGCCCATTTGGGAGTGAAAGCAAATCCAATTCCTCACTAGAACACAAGTACCAACCCAGAGTCCTGTAGTTGCCCAGATTTTGGAGGTTTATAATTAACTATGGGTATTTTCACTCTATCTCACTTTTTTTGTGAGTGAATGTTTATACACATAAACACCAGAGCACAATTCTAAGACAAGTACCTACCCAGAACTCTGCAGTTGCACAGACTTGGGGAGTTTACAATCAATGAAGAGTATTTTCACTCTATCTGACTTTTTGGGGGTGTGATTATATCCTATTACACACCAGAACACATATCTAGGACTAGCACTTACCCAGAGCACAGTAGTAGCACAGACTTCGGGGGTTTACAATCAATAATGGGAGCTTTCACAGTATCTCACCTTTTTGAGGAGTGAAATTATATCAGTTACACACTAAATCACAATTCTAAGACAAGTCCTCACCCAGAGCCCTATAGTTACACAGGAATTGGATGTTCCCACTCAAAATGGGTGTTTTCACACTATTTCTCTTTTTTGGAATTGAAAATATCTCCACTTCCCCACCAGAACACAATTCTATGGCAAGCCTGAACTGAAAGCTCTTCAGTTGCACAGACTTTGGATGTTCTCACTCAAAGATAGGTGTTTTCCCTATATCTCTCCATTTTTGGAGATGAAAGTATATCTAGTCCCTCGCTGGCACACAATTTTAAGATAAGCACCAACTCAGAGACCTGTGGTTGTGCAGACTTTGGAAGTACATAATCCAAATAGGTATTCCACTTTATCTCTCCTCTATTGGATATGTAAGTAGGCCCAATACCACCACTGAGCACAATTTAAAGACAAAATCCACACGTGGGCAGTATCTTTGCTCTAATTCTAGAGGTTCCCAATCGTACATAGGTATTCCCTTATTTACCTCTGCTTATCTTTGTCAGGGGCGGGGTATTGTGTTTCAGAAGTGGGGATTATAAACAGTTGTAATCAGTGAGTAGCTTTGTTCTGAGGTTTAGGATGGTTTGGGACTGAAGGGATAATACCCCAAACTACTTTGGCACAGTCTCACTGTCTACAGATATAGTCTGGGTCAGTGTTTCACACTTAGGGATCAACAGAGTAAAGATAGCAAAGAGGGAATGAAGGAGTAGAAATAATTGTAAATAGGTGAGGTATAGTCAGGGGAAAGATTAAGATATACAATGAAATATAGGAAGAAAAATCAGATTAGAGGGATGTAGCAAAGGAAAGGAATAGAGGGAGGAAAGTTATGACCTAACTTCTAAGCAAGAAAGAGTAGAAAAGTTAAAACAAAACAAGAGGAAAAAAAGACAAAAAGAACAACAACACCAAAAAACCCAAAACAAAAACAAAAAGGAAAGAAGAAAAATATATAAAAAATAAAAAAATTAGAACAATTATGCACATATGAAACAATAATACTAATATTAAGAATACCAATATTAGCTGGGTGCTGGTGGCTCACACCTGTAATTCTAGTTACTCAAGAGGCTGAGATCTGAGGATCACAGTTCAAAGCCAGCCTGGGCAGGAAAGTCGGTGAAACTCTTATTTCCAATAAACCACCAGAAAACCGGAAGTGGTGCTGTAGCTCAAGTGCTAGCCTTGAGCTGAAGAGCTGAGGGACAGTGCCCAGGCCAGAGCTCAAGCCCCACGACCGACCAAAAAAAAACGAATACCAATATTGTGCAGTAGGGAATTGGGTGATCAATTTATACTCTGAGTTAAGTCTATACACAGTTATGGAGGAAGTCTAGCGGTCACCGTAGGCTGTGCATCCAGTTGTGAATAGAACAGCAATGAGGAAAGGGAAAAAAAAACCCAACAGGATGTTGTAAAAAGGAAAAGCAAGAAAACAAAACTAAAAACAAAAACATTAAAAAAACTGACAAAAAGAAAAAAAGGCAATAGAGTTTAACTAGTTGCAAAAAATAAAGAGGAGCAAAAAAAATTTAAAGAAGTTAAAAAAATGAAAAAAAATATATATTTGGGGGAAAAGGAAAAAGAGAGAAAAAAAAGTATCTCCTATTTATTTGGGGGTGCTTATGTCTCCCGTAAATCCCTGTTCGAATCCCTTGATGACATCTTTGATTTGCTTGTAGTGGTCGGTTTTCCAGGTTGCTTGGTTGCTTGGGGACTTTGAGACCTTCTTCCCAGACTAAAAAGCTCGATCTGCTTTTTTTTTTTTTTTTTCTTTGTGCTGCCAGGAGGAGGTGGCTGAGACTGCAGTTTGTTGCTGCTGGGACTGAGCTTGGAAGTGGTTAGGGTTTGGGCCTGTCTGGAGTCAGTGGCTGTTCCCAAATTGGGGAGCTCCCATTGGGCCACTCACCTGTATCTTCTCTTGGCTTTTGTAGCCTGCCCAGTTTTTATTCATTACTTTTAATGAATTTTAGTGAGATTCCTGCAGGTGGTTGAGCTGCCAGTTCGGCTAAGGTATGGGTGGAATTCCTTTGCTGTCTGCAGGGGTGGTGGCTGCCTCTCTGTGCTCACCAGGTAGTGAAGGGTGATTGCACTTCTGGGCTGGGCAGCCTTCCACCTGGCAGAGCTGACTCTCACAGATCCAATTAAGGAAAAATGGTGCTGCCTGCTGCTTTTGTGTCCTAAGTTATCTGCTAGCTGTTATGGTGGAGCCTATGCCAGTATCCAATATGGCATTCTTTTCTGGTGGTGGAGAGGGGTGGCCTGCCTTCCCTGAGCTGTTCTGTGAGAAGGAGTGCGGAGACTCACCGTTTCCCTTGGCTTTTTGGCCCGGGTCAGCAGTGGTCAGCAGCATATGGAGTTCGGCTCATGATCATTCAGTCCACGCTGGAGGTGGGTAAAGAGATGCGGGCCCTCTGTCTCTGGCCGATTGTTTGGTCCTTGTCTGGCTGGTCACAAGGCAGCGGCTTGTGCTCAAATCTGTCTTCTGGTGCAAAGTGCCTAGATTTTTTCTCGCTAGGCAGAATCTCTGTACTCTGATGGCTCACTTGGTGTGATTTTTCCCATAGTGAATTATTCCCTGAACTGCAGAAAGTTAGTTTCTTAGAGAGAGTTCACATATAGCCCAGCTAGATCTCTTCTATCTTCCTCTAGTCTCTTTTTTCCACATTATTCTAACACTCATTAGTCATTCTTCTGACTGCCATCTTAGTCTTAGCTGTGTGAATATGTCTCTTTGTGGTTTGCATTTCCTTAATGACTATAGTTCGAAACATTTTGTCATATGCTTAGTGGTAAATTTGGAGAAATGTCTATCAATTCTTTTGCCCATTGACAGTTGGAAAAGGGTGTGTCAATCATACATATATACACTGGACCTTTATCAGACAAATGCATCCCTAGTCCTCAATCTCTTAGTGATTAGTATCTTTTTGTTTTTGTTGGTGGTGGTCGTGGGGTTTGAAATCTGGGTCTGGGCGCTGTCCCTCAGCTCTTCAGCTCAAGGCGAGTGCTCTGCTACTTCAGCCACAATGCCACTTCCAGTTTTCTGGTGGTTAATTGGAGATAAGAGTCTCACGGACTTTCCTGCCCCAGCTGGCTTTGAACCACGATCCTCAGATCTCAGCCTCTTGAGTAACTAGGATTACAGGTTTGAGCACCCAGCAGTATCTTTTAAAGTATGAATTTTTGTAGTTTGATGAACTCCAATTTATCTGCCCCCTCACCCCCCCTCCTCTGCTGTGTGGTCAGACACTCTTTAGCTACAGAATTATTCTTAAAATACAGGGGGATAGGTTCTGGGTGTAGTTCAGTGGCAAAGTGCTTACTTGGCAGGTACAACACTCTGGGTTTGATACTCAGAACCATAAAAAAAAGGGGGGGGGGAATAACAGATAGGAGCAAATGAAAAGATGACAAGTTTACAGTTTGTACTTGTATCAAAATTATTTATTAAACTACTTTTCATTTGATGGTATGATCTGTTGATAGACATACGCTAAATATGAATCATATACATCTATTCCATTTAGCTAGATGAAGCTAAGGGACAGATTATCATCCTAGTGGAAACCAGTAATTATTTATTCCATTTCCATTACAATTTATAAATTGTTTTGAGTATATCCGTCAAATTCATTGGGACACTCTAAATTGGTTCCTATAAAAGCTGTATTCTGTGGAATGACTTCTGAGCATAAGAATCTGGTTTTCATATCTAGCATCTTAGCACATGGAGATTGGATAGATGACCCTATTTACTCCAGGGTCATTCTGTTTACTCCAGAAGATTGCATTTGATTCACACAGGCACATTCCAAGGAACATAAGACCCGGGTTCATCTCTTGGAATCTGAATAAAAAGAACAAATGGTGAGAAATAGCAAAACATAAAGTAGGCCCCAAACCACCAGAAGCCATCCAGGGTAATGAGAGGCTGGGGAGCAAAGGTATATGAGCTGTGAGGGTCCCAGGAGAGGATTCAGCCAGGGAAAGCTACAAGCTAGCACCTCACCCCTGAAAAGGAGGAGATGGCATTTCCTTCCTTCTAACATCAAACATCTCACCACTGAATATAACCAAGAAGTGCTGAGCTGTTTGCTGAGTGGAATGCTGATGCAGGAATGATTCCTGCCATTTTACCCGCCTAGAGCCTGCTTGAAGGGAGAGTGGAGAGAGACCATTGGAACGGACAGTATTCTTGGTGAGGGTTCTAGGTTTAGGGTATATTTTCCAAACTCTTATCACTGAGTTCAGGAAATGCCCTGGGAAAGGAGCAAAACAGGGAAGGAATATGAGCTAAGGGGAATGAGTCCTCTTTTTTCCACGTGGCACAGAATGGCACTCCCAGTGCAGTTCACACAGACACAACTCACAGGCACATGCACAAAGGCCAGTCTACTCAGGGATTCTAGTCATCTGGAAAACTATAGTGATGAGTTAAAGAAACTTTAACAAAAGCTCAGAATTTTGTAATTTTTTCCTTTTAGTGAGAATGGCCTACCATCTTGGTGAACTTGTCTTCACAGGCCATTCGAATCTTCTCTGGGGTCAGAGGACTACTGAGCTGCCATGGTCTCCGCAGGCCTCTCTCCTGTCGCGCGGCGGTCACGGCGTCGTGGATGGCGAAAAACACCGAACACCCCAGGAACACCCCAGACTCTCCCAAACCCTTGAGGAAAGCAAGCCCTCTGGATTACGACACATAGACACATACACTCTCTTCCCTCGACATATACACATGCATATATATATCTGTATATATACACACATATATTACTCTGTACCTATCTGTATTAGAAAAGTAATCTCTTGATCCAATATTCCCATTCCTAGAATTCTAACCTAGACAAATGAGTCTAAATAAAGTAAACACAGGCATAAAGGTAATTATTACAATATGAAAAGACAAATTTGACATGTGGTAATAGCAGTTCATGTCAGACTCCAAGATTCAGAAGAATTAAAATATCTGTTAGGTTGAGTGCAGTGACTCAAACCTGTAATTCTAACTACTTGGGAGGCAGAGATGGAAGGATTGTCAACCTGTGCCAAAAATAGTTTAAGATTCCATCTCAACCAATGACGGGGAGCTGTGGCATGTGCCTGTTTTCCCAGCTACTCGAGAGAAGCTGGTTCAGTAAGATGGGCCTATCATCCCAGCAACACAGAGAAGCACGAAGTAGGAGGATGGTCATTCCTCACACAAAGCAAGACCCTATCTTGGAAATAATCAATGGAAAAAGGGGCCGGGGAGGAGGGTTTCGCACTGAGAGACTCTGAGTTTAGTTTCCAGCAGTACAAAACCAGACAAAACCCAAACGGAACAAAAACAAAAAAAACTCAACCAATCAAACAAAAAGCATTAAAAAGACGTGTTGTTAAACTAGTTTGTAAGTAACACGCATAATAAGGGGTTTTCTTCAAAACCCTGGTAAAACCACTGAACAACCAGGTACGAAAATGAATGCAGTCTTCCCTCCACCCCACAGACATGATACGAACATACATCTATTCGTGGAAGACCGCATACCTTAGATGAATACAGGGTATTTGAATTTTCAGATGGAGGCAAAAAAGAGATGTGCAGCTCAGCGGGGATGTCACAGATGGCAGGGATTTTATATTGGTTTGGACCGCGCGTGTACAGAACACCCTGAGGAGAATATTTCAGTTCCTCCATTGTATAAAGTCCCATGCCTTGAACAAATGCACCTTCAATCTGTGACAAAAATAAAAGCAATTTATGCGCATGAGAAGATACAGTCAACAGGAGGTATCATTTCAACTTCACACTGGGATATTTTGAATTTTAAAATTGCAGTTTGAAGAGGATTTCCGGGGTGTCTTGGAGCATGTCCCTGCCTGCCTTCCTAAGAGCATTTCTTCCCATCGCATTTGGTGCTACATTCAAAATCAAATGATGGGGCTTCTGATCTTGGTGTAGTCATTAAAACAATTGCTGTAGAAGAGTCCTCTCATATCATCTAAACACCCTCCTCTTTAATGCAGACAAAGTGACCAAGGCTCTCACTGACTGATTTGCCCTCATAGTAGGCTTTCAGGATGTTGTCCATTGTCTTCACTCACAAGCTGGCCGGTCTTGCAACAAATCAAATGTTTCTGCTCCTTGTAACCTGAAGGAACCTGTAGGAACTCTCTACACTTTCTCCCTGGACATAAGCATGCAGCAAAAGTGCATTTCCAAACATTTTTAAAAATTATTTTGGAGTTTCTTCTTAGGTTACTTCCTTCCTATGACCACATCTTCATTTCTCACTTCTACCAATAGGTAAGGAGTTATCATGCTATTAGGTAAATCATCCTAAAACTCAGTCAGATCACTTCTACATATGAAGCTAAGTAACTATTTTTGGAGACTCTTCATCAACAAGACCATCATCCACCCTGTAGCCCCAGCTTCAGAGCTGGTTCACTCCAACACAGACACATAGTCCTCAGCCAATGTGATGTGAATACAGGTGTGCTGCAATTTGGGTCTTTCTTCAGGTTGATTTTCTTCACTCTTCTTCCCAAGTGGTCTTTCCTGACTATCAGGTCCATCCTCACTTCCTCCCTGAAGCCTTGGTTGATTTCTCCACTTAACAGAATCATCATCCCATTCTCCAAGGACACAAAGCCATGACTGGAGAGAGGATATATTTTCCTGCAAATTGGAGCTAGGGAATAGAGTTTCCCACAGGTGGAGGCAGTTCAAGCAGGCCTGTGAAGATTCCAGGTGGGTCCCCTGTCATTGGTGAGTGTGTGACTCTCCAAAGATACAACCTACTTTTTCTTCATGGAAATGCAAGTCCAGAGTTGGTAAATTTCCATGCTAGACATTGAAATTTTTCAATTTTGTTAATTATTTAAAATCTGAACATAAACATGACTGTGGGCGTCACATGCTGGTGGCTCATGCCTAATCCTAGCTCCTCAGGAGGCTGAGATCTGAGAATCATGTTTCAAAGCCAGACTGGGCAAAAAAGTCTGTGAGACTGTTATATCCAATTAGCCATCAAAAATCTGTAAGTGGAGGGGGGGTGGCTCAAGTAGTAGAGCATTAGCCTTGAGCAAAATAGCTAAGGGACAGTTCCCAGGTCCTGAATTCAAGCCGAAATGACGCAAGAAAATAACTATGGGTAAGAACATTATCCCACAGGCTATTTCTCAATAGCTACTGCTATAACTGAAGTATGGTATCCTAATCCAACTTTAAATTGTGTGCCTATGCTCAGCACTTGGTACTAATTTACTTATACCCCACAGGTTCGGGGCCCAGAGGTACCCTCTAGCTTGGTCTTGTTTCAGGCCAGTTCTCAATTGCAGATTGTATATTTCTTCAAAAACTACCTAAAATAACTGTTTCCTCTCCCTTTTTAAATAGTAAGTCATTTGAGTTCTGTAGCTGGTCTGAACAGCAAGATGTTGGCTAACAGGCAGAGTAAGATGTAAGCAGAATGGAATGTTTTTCCTGCAGATTTCACAGCAGTTTGAACAAGTTAGTTACACATACCTGGCCTATGTCGAGGGCTGGGTTGATGCTGTTGCCAACATCCATGACAATGTCTGTTCTGATGTTCTAGTAATAAAAAAAAAATCACCTGTTTATTTCAATGTAAATCATGTAAAGAGAAGCTAAAAAAAACTTCCTGCTAGGCTAGCATTGGCATAAAACATTTTTCTCTTTTGGATCATATTATACCAGGAGAAAAAAACAACAAACATTTTATTATGTGACAAGTTTTATTATGTAAAACTTTTTGGTCATACTGGGGAGTGAACTCAGGGATTCCTACTTTCTAGGCAGGTGTTTTACCACTTGAGTATCCCCAATACAGTTTGCTTTCATTACTTTTCAGATAGTGCCCATGTTTTTTGTCTCAGGCTGGCCTTGAACCACAATCCTCCTGATCTCTATCTCCTGAGTAGCTGGGATTATGGGTGTTTGCCACCAAGCTTGGTTACAATGTAAAACATTTAAAGGAATGAATACTCTTAACCAGTTTACACCATGTGATTGTTTTTTTCTTCCTCTTGGAAATAATCTGTATTTTTCCTGGAAATAATAAGAACATAACGTATTTGATTGATTTTGATTTAAGCTATGGATACATACAATAGATTGAGCTTAATCCGCTACAAGAAACCTAATAAATAACACAATAAAAGAAAATATCTATAATGAGCAATATCTATCATGAGTAATACTTTGGTGATGCAATACTTTGTGGCTAAAGTTCATTGCAACATACAGAGTCCAATTGGCTCAGTGATGTTTACTAAAGTCTAGAGTTCAGGAAGTCCAAGTGAAAGGTCTTTGAACTGTCATCTGTTTACCTAGGGGGTGAAAAAAATGAAAGCAGAAGGAAGGAGGCCAAGCCAGGCTGCTGGCATTACCTGCAAATCACTGCCATGACTTGCAGATTTGATTTCTGGTTAATAAATTTTAACAAGAAAATTAAACAATGATCTAGCATGTTTGACTATAGTAAAACATTATGCCAGTTGTGGTGGATTACATCATCTCAATCAATAGCTGGGCATGATGGCACATGTCTATCAGCCCAGTTACTCAGGAAGTAGTAAATAGGAGGAAGGTGGCCCTGGTTAAAAGAAACAAAACATGAGATTTATTCCAAAGATAAGTAATGCAAAAAGGACTCAGAACATGGCTCACGGTAGAGTGACTGCATAGTAAGGGTAAGACCCTGAGTTCAACCCCAGTCCCCCAGACGAAAGAAATAAAATTGAAAAATAGAACTTTAGGTACTCACAGTTCTTACTGAAAGACACAATGAACTATGGAGTTATTTTGGACACTAGTTAGCAAGACTCCCTTGCAGGAGACAAGTGACATCAACTGGAGGTGAGTGGAGGTATGCTAAAGTTAGCGAAGACTCTATTGACTTACTAGGTTTTTTTAAATTTAATTTTACGGTCAAGGTGATGTACAGAGGTGTTAAAGGTACATACAGCAGGTAGTGAGTACATTTCTTGTTGAACTTGTTACTCCCTCCCTCATTTTTCTTCCACTTTCCTTCCCCTAAAAACCCCACCCCCCAAGTTGTACAGTTAATTTCCAACATATTGTCTTGTGAGTATCGCTGTTGCATTGGTTCACCCTTTGTCCTTTGTCTCACCATTTTGTTGTTCCCATTCCCTTCCCTAATTCCTATCCTCTGAAGTAGTATGAGCCAATAAATACTTATCAGTCTTCATTCATTTATTACACAGCAATAGGTAATATATAGGTGTGCATTCAGGTGAGAACAAATTTTCAAGGATGAGGGAAATTCTACTAACACAAAGAAAATGGTGGAGATACAGGCCTCCAAGGGAAGCCTTCTGGGAGAATCTCACATGATGATATTCTGCCTGCCACTAATACCTAATCTGAACTTCAGCTCTAGTTTTTACGATTAGATTATTTATCACAGCTCTTAAGATTGTTCAAGTTATGAGAACTTTTTTGTCCTTCATTCTTTATTTTTTCCTTCTTTCCTTCCTGTTCTCCCTCTCCCCTTCCTTCCTTCCTTCCTTCTTTCCTTCCTTCCTTCCTTTCTTCCTCTCTTTCTCTTTCTTTCTTTCTTTCTTTCTCTTTCTTTCTTTCTTTCTTTCTTTTTCTTTCTTTCTTTCCTTCCTTCCTTCCTTCCTTCTTTCTTTCTTTCTTCCTTTCTTTCTTTTTTTGCAAAGTCTCCCTATAGCCTAGACTGGCCTCAAATTCTTACTCTCCTGCTTCATCCTTTCAAATGCTGGGATTACAGAATGCACCATTACACCCAATGCAGAAGATTAATTACCAACTCATTCTTAGATCCTAATAAAACCAAGGTATATACAAAATATAAAAAAAAAACTCCAATATGTTTTGCTTTTATTTGAAGATACAGGGATTTAGAAATCAGTGTGAGAGAATTCCCTCAAACTAGAGAGCTATGTTTAGAGTGACTTTGCTTTTCCCTAGTCCAAAATTCCCTGAAATAAATCTAGACTGAGTAAGAATCCAGACAAGCCATGCAGATTCAATAAAGTTATGCATAATTTCCAAGATTAAGCTTATGGTCATGTTAAGTAAATACAACATGAGAGGACACTGTGAATGAAAACATATTACAATCTAAGATGTCAAATCAAAGAATATATATATATATATATATATACATATATATATATGTATATCAAGAACTACAACTTGCTTCTGGGTATGGTTTTGGACTATATTATTACTAGCCTAATAGTTTGGCCACAAAACATTTGTGAGGGTCCCTGAAGTTCTATTTAATTATTAATCATTATTTATTATTATTGACAGGACAAGTAAATAACTTCTTTTACTGCTAAAGACCCAAGAAGAAAAACGGAATCCCTAAAGCTATATAAACAGAAGAACCTATCTGGGTAAAGTATTTCCTAGCCTGGCCATTGCCTGCCCTGGGCTGGCTTTGGTGATTGCTTGCAGATTATGGGTACCTATGCAATCATTCAACATTATCATATAAGAGGTGAATGGGGAGGGCTGGAAAGGTGGCTCAGTGGTAGAGCAGTTGTCTTGCATGCATGAGGCCTGGGTTCGATTCCTCAGCACCACATAAGCAAAAAGAAAAAAGCCAGAAGTGGTGTTGTGGCTCAAGTGGTAGAGCGCTAGCCTTGAGCTGAAGAGCTGAGGGACAGCACCCAGGCCCAGAGTTCAGGCCCCACGACTGGACCCCCCCCAAAAAAAAGAAGAATGGGGAAACTTAGAAGAACTACCCATTGTTTGAAAGGTAAGTTGGTACGTGACTATTTTCTCCAAGTAATATAGAGAAATCACATTTTCCTCCAATAAATGGTAAGTGTAAACTTCAGGTGCATGCAAGTACATTGGAAGACATTTTCAGTAGTACCGACCTTATGATCCCCTGTCAGGCAATCAATTTCAACCTCTGAACAGGCAGCTCCATAGACATAGTATTCAAAGGGATGCCCTTCACCTTTCTCCCAGTCCATATTTGACTCATAACCCCTGAAACAAACACATTCTTGAGGAACATTGTTAAATGATCAAGTAATCACAGACTACGATGACTGAACAGACTATAGGAGCTGAGCAGTCAGAGGAATACACTTGTACGGTGATATGAATACCCATAACATATACTTTGTAAATGTACTGAAAAACTAAGTACTTGCATCTTTCCTATTCAACTTGTATTGTTGAATAAAAACACCAGTTATTCCTAATCAGTGAATCCTTACTCCTAGAGGTTTATATACTTACTTTATAACTACTTGTCCTACTGCCTATAGCCAATGTAATGTAATCTTACTATCATCAGATTGGGGGTATTCAACCTCTATCTCACATCAGTCACTATGTTAAAGGTACATACTTGCTTGATTTGTTTGATTTCCTGACTCCAGGATTCACCTCTGTCTGAGAGGCTTGTCCCTGGATCTCATTCTAAGTCCTTACTATCAGACTCTATGGCCTATTCCCCACTCTCCTTTTTGTAAGGATTCCAGGTGAATGTCAGGGAATTAGTCCTCTCTACCAACAGTCATCTGGTTCCCCAAGCCGGGAGATGTCCATTACAAATGCTTCCAATGCCCATTCCTGCTCATCAGTCAGTGCCCCAGGACTGCCACAACAAAATGAGGTTAAGACCCTCTCTTATCACCCTGTTTTCTGATGGCATCAGCTCTCCATTAAATAATCAGATAAACTATTCTCCAAAGTGTGTCATTTCTCATTGATTCACATCTTGACACCACAGAGTTGTCATCAAATTTCCTTCTGCCAGTCTAGGGGATGTGAACAGCTCCTGTCATAAGTGCAGTTTAACTTGTATCCCTCCTCATTTGTTTCTTAACTCAAGGGAACCAAAGGTGTTTCCCACAGAGTCAACCACTGATCTGGATTCCACACAATTCCTCGAGAATCTTATCATACCACTCACTAGGATTTGAATTATCATTCAACTGGTTTTCATTTATATGCATGTTTTTCCTAGCAGAAGTCTATTGGGACACTTGGATGAATTAGTAGCTAATTACTCTTTATAACAGTAGGTTAATTGAAGGTACAAAATCAATGTATGCCAAATTGCAAACAGAACTAAAACTCTTCCTCAAGATACCATTTGTTTTCCATAACATGAAACTGATTTAAAAAGAATACTTACCTGAAATATCCAACAGCTGAAAGGCTAATGCTTTCATCAAAAGCAGCCTGTGCCTGTGAAGGGAAAAAAAGGGTGTTTTGCAGAGAGATTTCCTCAAGACTTCAATTTTGATCATGTGTTAAACTATCAGTGGCAATAACTAGGCAGAACTGAGATGAATCTGTTCCTTTTAACACTGTCCATCCACACAAGCATTTGTGGTTCACTGAAAGTAGTAATAGTGTTTGTTCAGTGCATATGATTACAGTAAATGACCTCCAGGGTATGTTAAACTTATAGACTTGATGATAGTGATCAATACATATTCTGCTTATGAGCAAATTCATTCAGTCATCTGGAAAGACTTAGCCTATTAGCACAGGCCATTTTAGGAAACAATGGCTGGTTGTGTGTTCAATTTTGATATCATATATCTGTAGCAGTTTCAGTAGAGGAGAATAATTTTGCTAAATTGAACCATTTACAGTAAATGGTTCCCTGACTCTGCAAGTGCATACAATTGAGTACTAAATGGAAAAATGACTCTTAGGGCCAAGTCTTCAGGTCTAGGAGAGAAGGTAAGCCATGTAACCATTACAGAAGGCCAAGGAGAGAGTTGACCATCAGCATTGTGCCATGGGTGGTGGAGAACAGACTTTCCTACACCTTTCTTCATCCAGCCACTTTCAGCTTTTAGGGGGTTGCACAGTACAGGGCAAAGGCAGAAACAAGGATGCCCAGAAAAGATGGAGAGCTTTCATAAATAGGAACTACAGAATGAGTCTTGATGAAAAAATAGAAAACTTTTGGGGGATAGTGATGGGGATTGAATCCAGGGTCTCGAAAATGCTAAGTACATGTTTTACTACTGGGCTACCCCACTCCTCAGCCTTGGAATCATTTCTAAGTGAAACTCACTAAATAATACTTGAATAGGACTCTGTGTGTGTGTGTGTGTGTGTGTGTGTGTGTGTGTGTGTGTGTGTGTGTGTGTGTGTGTGCTGGGAAAGAGGAGTATATGTCAGTCCTAAGGCTTTAACTCAGGGCCTAGGAGCTGTCCCTGAGCTTTTATTCCTCAAAGCTAGATCTCTACTTCAGTTACAGTTCCACTTCCGGCTTTTTAAATGGTTAATAAGAGTCTCATGGACTTCCCTGCCTAGGCTGGCTTTAATCAGCAATCCTCAGGTCTCAGCCTCCTAAGTGGCTAGGATTATAGGTGTGAATCACCAGTACCCAGCTAGACCGGGATTTTACCCATGCAAAAGTAATATTCCATAGTAATCATTACACATGGTCTCAGATTTTACAAATACATTCCATACCATTTGGTAATTTGTAGTCTATTAGTTTAAAATGTTTGCTAGTTGACCTCAGAATGTGTGGCTTCTCTTTCAACTAGAGTGTAAGTGTACCAGAAGAAGAAGGCATTTCCATGTCAGTGCCTGCTACACACATACTCAGGGGCCTGCTTTCTATTTATGTTAGAGTACCTGCATGCTTTTTACCTTCATAGAGGTGATTCCACTGTTGCTTTTCTATGTTAGGAATAGTGGAATCAAAAGAATCAACAGAAAGTACCAGAAAGTAGGTTTTACAGGATGCAACATTCATTAGTTCTAGCTTAGTTCTTAGTTCATTAGCTCTTCGCTTCATTAATTCTAAAGCAGGAGTTATGACAGAAATAACTTTTTCTTTTCTATAATAGAAACATCTCTCGGATGAAAGAGTTCTTCCATTATATTCTGATAGGATTTTTACATGAAGAAGGCCTCTGATTCTCATTTTGTAATGATGGTAGCCCTTCAACTATTTTTGTAATCGCCTCATTTTTATCTAACAAAAAATACTGAGAATCTACAATTCTCACCCAGTCTTTCCAAGTTCCTCCAGGATTCTTGTTGATGATGGGTTCAAGGCGCTTCATAAGAGCTTGACAAGCATCCTAGGAATTAGAGATTATGTTTTAAATTCAAATCATCATCACAATTTCACGCAGATGCCAGTTTCAAAACAACATGGAATGTCCTCCCGTGGGCTTATTTAAGAGGGCTGCAGAAACCCAGACAAGCAGGAGACCACCCCATAAGAGGGTGAAGTGGAAGTGCCCTGTGGTACAGGCATGCACATGCACGTATCAGGTGTGAACCTTAGAAGCCATGCTAAGTTAGGAATTAACAGAAAAAATGGTTGACAAACCACAAACCACTGCTTTCAAATGTAGTCTTACGTTACAGGGAAGTTTGCTGGGGTAGCAAGAAGCCCGAGTGGAAGACAACAGAGCTGGGGTAGAAAGACAGAAACCATTTTCAAATCTGTGGTAAGAGTCTGACTCAAGGTGATAATAACATAACATGGCAGGGGAAAGATCTACAGACATTTCTGACAGAGTTAGAAGGACTGCTGACCAGTTAAATGTCAAGAGCCAGGGAGAAATAGAGGTGTGTTTGCAGCACAGGCAAACGGCTGGGTGCTATAGCCCCGATTGAGCTTGACACTGGAGGAGAGAGGCAGGAGAAGGGCGAATGTTACGTCTGAGCCCAACTACAGATTGGCTCTGGGAACTCTAAGGACTTTGATGTCACAGACGTGGTTTTTACCTTTACTGCCAGCCCATTAAGGTCTGCCACCACAGACCCTCCAGAGATATTTGTGTTAGGCACCGTTTCTGTGCTTGTCCCACGCAGGTGGACATTTGACATCGGCATCTTTAATTCACGGCTGGCCACCTGGGTTTTTGGAGAGAGTTTATTTCCTTATACCATGGCTGGTTGTAGACCCAGGCACCAGTGCACACTGTACAAAGGATGGGGATAGGCTGCGGAGTCATGAGTTCTTGAAGGCACAGGAAGCTCCCCCATTTTTTGATGGACAGTGCGAGGGCTTCACCTCAGACACCGGGCACTATCTTTTAGTGTTTTCACTCTACCACTTAAGCCACAGCTTCACTTCTGAACTTGTGGTGGTCCAAGATAATAATCACAGACTTACCTGCCTGGGCTGGCTTTGAGCCACAATCCACAGATCCCAGCTTCCTGAGTAGCTAGGATTACAGGCTTGAGGCACCAGCACCTGGCAGAAAATTTCTCTTTTTCTAAAGACCCTATAGCCAATCTGGGCTCCAAGTTGGACACACTTTCTTTCTCTGTCATTTTCTTATGCATGAGAGCCTCCCGGAGAGGAGGGGAAGCCAAGACAGGCAGAAATGTTTCATTTGAATTTTTATAATCACATCTCCATACTCCAACTATTCTTGCTACACCTACCGCAATCCTCTGCAAAATTCTAGCAAATTCCCCATTATCAAAAATAGAATTGATGCTTCTCTCCTATGTACGTTTCTGGAGATGCCCCAGAAATAAGCTTCTCTTGTGAGAAAGGACAGCAGGCTCAGTAAACATGAGCATCCCAAGAAGGAGGATATGGTACTGGGGCTGAGTGTCAACACAGGGCTTAGAAGGCTGCTTTGTTTTTTTATTTATAATACCAGAACAAGCCACATTGCTGACCTCATTTGATCCAAAATACTCTTTCCTGGTAGCAGGGTGGCTTGCTAGAGTTTGCCCATAACTGTCCAAGAAGAAGGCATCTACCAGAGCACATAAGTTCTCAACATAAATGCCTTATAATGCAAACACTGCACCTCACCCCCAAAATGAAGAAAGGAAAAGAAAGGGAAGGGAAAGGAAAGGAAATTATTAACAATTCTCTTTTTGTAGGGCTAGCGATGAAACTTAGGGCTTTACACGTGCTAAGTATGAGCTTCTACCACTGAGCTATAGCTCAGCCCCAACAATTCGTAATGACAGGACAAAGTAGTCACCTTGGTAAGATTAGATGGGGAAAAAGCCATAAAGTTACCCAAATAACATGTTAACCTTTTCTTTTTTGAGAAAGGAAAGACCTCAAGGTAATAAATACTGCTAAATTGTGGAATCGTGTCCTTTTTGTCTTTTAATTTTCTGCCTCTTTTGAATGCTTTATGGCTTATGATGTTACTATCAATGATTAGCAAAACAGAAACTAGTTTAAAATTAAAATAAATGATCTCAAAGGAAACTAGGAAAACTAGCAGTGTTTAACTACAAGAATCAAACTTGATTTGTATTAGATGGTTCAAGCACTTAATATAGAAGGACAAGAAATAGTGTACCACATCAGAATTTACATATTATTTCATTGCTCAAGAAAAAGAAATTTAAAAATAGTAGTTAATATGTTTAAAGGAGAGAAGCAAGTAACACCTCACTGCTACCTTCTTTAGCAATAAAGACTTGTTACTTCTGGTCCTCAGTTATAAACTTGACTTGTTTATTACAAAGTTTCTTCTCAGAGATTAGTAGCTTGAACTATGAAAACCAGTCTCCCATTCTTTCAGAACGGAAAATATACATTCATAGTTTCTACCTCATGAACACATATGCAAGGAAATGCCAATAAAATCCAGCAATTTGCATTCTTACCTGAATCATTTTAGTGTGGACACCCTGCCCCATTTCGATTCCACCATGAGTGACCAGAGCTGAGCCATCTAGGTAAATATGGACCAGGGCAGCAGCCTAAGCAGAGAAAGATAGAGAACACAGAGAAACTCTTCTGTGGTTGATATGATCACATTTATATCAAGTAAAACACTTTCTTTAAAAATCAAATTTTTTCATGCCTGACATAACACGTATTACCTAAGCTGAGCCAGGGCTGACGTGAGTTCCGCCTTGTGATCACCCCACAAGAGACCACACTGTCCCTGGAGCTGTGCATCAGATGCCAGGTGATGCCAGAGGCAAGGGGGTCGGGGCTGATGCTAGCTTCTGTTTGGTCACACTTTACTGTCCTCATGCCATGTGACACAGAGTTTCACATGCAATAATTGCCCAAGAAATGTTCAACAGATGAATTTGCCAGAACATAATGATCTGATCTGTTTTTTAAGTTTGCAAACTAAGTTTTCCCAGATCTGTGGCTTGACTGACATGCAATTGGGCTCTGTGTGTGTGTGTGTGTGTGTGTGTGTGTGTGTGTGTGTGTGTGCGCGTGTGTGTGTCCTCTGTTGTGTGAGCCTGCTGGTGACGGCACTCTGCCTGCAAGTCCAGGGCAGCCTTTCTGTTGAAGACTGCTGGGTAATTTGTTCCACATGGTGCGCAACTGGCCTCAGGCTATTAACAAGGTCAAATTTGGTTCAGTTAAGTGGCACCACTGGATGGCTCATTGTGAGCATCACAAAAGATACTTTCACAAAGCTTCATCTATAAAATCAGCACAAATAAAGGAATGGACCACATGGCTCTCCAATATAAATAGAGGAGTTTAGTTGAGTGAAATTTAAATCTTAAGCAAGAATTTCTGGTATTGGTGAAGTTAGCTCTAATTCTGAAGCTTCCCCATATACCAAAAGCATTCACAATTTGGGCTCCTACTCTGTGCCAGGTGCTGTACGGAAAAATGTCCTGGAAACACAGAGGTTAATTAGCTACAATCTGTGTCCTTCAGAGGTCACAGTGTAGGGATGAAGCATATTTTGGTGACATGCATTTAACCCCCTCAGCTATTGGGCAAGGGCTACTTCAGTTTAGGGGTGGGACAGTGTGGGATCTGAGGTCACGTCTTTGTTTGGTTACTCACTACCTGGATGACTTTGGATAAGAGAATAAATTGAGATAGGTTCCGTTTCCCTCCACATAAAGTAGAATGAATCACAATAGAGAGACTAGACAAGTGGGACATTGCAAACCCCAGCCCAAGATCTTCTACAGAGAAGTAGAAGTAACATCAAACATTTCGAGTTCCTGCCTCTGTCTTGCTGCAGGACCGAGGCTTTCAGGATGTGCCTTCAAGAAAGAAGCCTGACTCTGGTCTCAAGCTCTTCTCTTCAGCCTTGAGCAAGCCTTTTAAGCACAGAAGGATACTGGTGGAGCTTCTTTGTAGCCTCTGAGGATGCATTTGTCCTGCTGGCTCTTGCCTAGTACCTTTTATGGTTGTACTGAATCCCTCAGTCCCCATCAAAGGATGGCTTGGGAAGAGAACGTTGGGAAGTGCCCAGACCTGAATTCTAACCTTGGTCCAGTTTCTGCCAACTATGGGACTTGCAAAACAGAGAGAATTTTCCCCAAGATCCTGACCACTGTGCTCCAGGGCAAATGGTCTTTACTGATCTCTTTGCTAGCTGCCAGCAAATAGGCTTATCCCAAAAGTGTACAACAAGAGTCACTGCTTACAAACCCCTTTCCCAGTGGGAGCTTCCTTTGCTCTGCTCCCCTCTGAAATAATGGCATTTGGCTATATAATCATATTTCCCTTTGTTTCTCAGCCATGGTTTCTGGACTCTTTCTCCCACCCCTAAGTAAATATTGTGCAAGTGGCTAAATGGCTCAGTGTTCATTTTTACTGTCATAACCAGGCAAGGAGTGGCAAGAGTAGGATTTAATACCTGCTTGTCATTCTCAATAAAAATTGCATGTAAACATTGTAAGGATGGAACCAGAGCTCTGCTAGGTTCACTGTACAATGGATGGGTGGATATGGAATGGAGGAAGGACATTCTTTTGCACTGGATATTTACATTTATTTATGTGTATGCATCCAGGAAAATCTTTGCATGTATACATGCAAGAGCATAGATAATGAGAGTTCTCACCACAGCTACACAATGAGCTAAAACATAGCAGCCCTTTACCAGCTGTTAGGGTTAAGTTTCATTCAAGAATAAAGAGGTGGGAACAGCAAATGGTATTTAGCATTGAGGGGTCTGTAAGAAGCTGTGGAGCAGATTCCCAGTCTTCCTTTTCATACCCTTAATAGCATTGTAGTGAACAAAGTCCTAAAGTTGTGTTTTAAAAAGTTTTTTTAAGTGGATATTTTTTTCTTGTGAAAATACTGTACGGAGTGGTTACAATTACATGAGCAAGATAATGAGTACATTTCTTATCAAGCATTGTAGCCTCCTCCTTTGTTTCCTTTTCCTATTCCCTCCTCCCCCCCACCACCAAAGCTGTAAAGTTCATTTTCGACATAACGACTTGTACATCTCATTGTTGCAATGGGTCCACCTGTAACCCTATTTAAATGATTTGTTTTTCCCCTTCCCCTCCACAAATTATACCGACATCAAATACAGTGAAAGCAGGGGTTATACCGTGGGGAAGGGACATACAAAGCAACAAAGAAATAATCTTATAAATGCGTTAGAAACAATTGCATGAAAGAAAAAAAAACATTTGAATACATATCTTAGGGTTCATTTTCCTAACATCAACTTATCTGACCTTTTTTGCTTGATTAAAACGTTTTTTGAATGTTTTTAGTTTCTGAGTTTAGTTTATCCAATCCTCCCAAATTCCGTGCAGCCTCCTGGGAGAGGAGTGTTGCTCCCACCCTCCTACTTCACCCAGGGGCAGTCCAGGCTTAGGGAAGTTGTCTCCGCTGTTTATTGCCAGTATCAGACGAAAGTCTCAGGTTTCTAATTTATGATCAAGAATTATTTCACCACATGTAGAAATGTAAACAGAGGAGCCCTTATCTTCTCTGGAGTAAAGCTAGCTTTGCTAACAACATTGCTGACATTTAAGAAGTGGATATCGTAAGCTAATGGTTAATCCCACACAGCAGAAACCTTTTCCAACCCCTTGGCTTTGTCTATGCAGATTCCAGCTGTATTCCCACAAGTGTATGAAGAACTAACCTGACCCATGGAAACAGAGCCAACTCCAATAGGAAATTTCAGTGGGACTATGGCCAGTCCTTTCTTCTTCCAGTAATTCTCTCTGTTGAACTTATCCACTGTGGCTCTTCTCAGGGAGAAGGAAGACTTAGCCAGACATTCTCTCCAACACTGGATTAGACGTGTGGCATTAATCTCTTGTTTGTAGGGTGTTTGATCAATTCCCATGTACATATTTATTGTTCGAACCTATGAAAGAAGAAAAGAGATTAAAGGCACAAAGCAACTCAATAGATTAGTTTCATCTATGTGTTGTTCTTCTGGTCTAGTTCTGTCCATCCTCTAAATTCCAAGCTGGGTTCCACCTAATTCTTCCTGAAGCCTTTCCCAAGGCACAGGTTCTCATCTTTCACTCTAGATTCTATTAGCATGCACCTACATGGATCAATGCTGCTCTTGTGAGTTCAAAGGAAGGAATTCTTTGCTTATCTTTCTATATAGGTCACCATAGCCCTGCTGACTCTTAATGCTAGTTGCATTTGTGGCCATTTGTTGAAAGATATCCAGGCAAAGTGATTTGGATTATCCAGATGCTATAGAACAATGAAATCCCTTACAAACTAAGAATCATTGGTTCATGACTGTAATCCTAGATACTTAGGAGACTAAGACCTGTGGACTGTGGTTTGAAGTCAATCAAATTGAGAAAGTCCTTCAGATTCTTATCTCTGATTAACCACCAAAAAAATCATTGTATTTGATGTTGGTATAATTTGTGGAGGGGAAGGGCAAAAACAAATCATTTAAATAGGGATACAGGTGGACCCATTGCAACAACGAGATGTACAAGTTGTAGAACTTTACAACTTTGGTGGGGGGGGGGGGAAAGGGGAGGAGTGGGGGAAGATTGGAAGGGATGGGAAGGGGAAACAAAGGAGAAGGCAACAATGCTTGATAAGAAATGTACTCATTACCTTGCCCCACATAATTGTAACCCTTCTGTATGGTATTTTCACAATTAAAACAAACAAACAAAACAGGCTCATGTGGAAGAGCAGTAGGCCTTGAACAAAAAAGCTCAGAGTTGATGCCTAGGCCCTGAGTTGAAGCCCCAAGACCTACACACATGCACACACACACACACACACACACACACACACACACACACACACACACACACACACACACACACCACAAAGACCCCTTACTTCCCAAACATAGAGGGAAGAGTAAGTATAACTGATGTCAAGAAGGACAAAGAAATTAGAAGATTCTACTCCAAGACATTTGAAGCATTGAGTAGCATTCTTGTGTTTCCAGAATTGGCAACCAAGTTGTCTAGCTCTATCCAGTCACACCAGAGCCAAGCAGAATCCAGCACCATTTTCCTGAGCCCCCACAACTGTGAGAAACAGACTTCTGCTACTTACATAATAATCCAGCCAGGAATATTTTGTTATGATAATGGAAAAATGAACAAATACAAACTCCAGCCAATAGAAATTTCTCACTCAATGGGCAAGAAACAATGTTTACTCCTCAAAATCCTATTTCCAGGGGTTTAGAGAAGTCTGAATAAGACAGGATTGCTATCTTCTTAATGTGTATTAACTAGCTGACTGGATGACCTGGGACAAACCTTTATCTCATTGGATCTCAATTTCTTCATCCTGAATGACCCCCAGCAGTCCTCCCATGTCAGACAGTTGACTTTTTTTGTTGTTGTTCGGTAGTGAGGCTTGAACTCTGGGCCTGGGCGCTGTCCCTGAGCTCTTCAGCTCAAGGCAAGCACTCTACCGCTTGAGCCACAGTGCCACTTCCGGCTTTTACTGTTTATATGAGGAATTGAATCCGAGGCAAGCACTCTACCACTGAGCCACTTTCCCAGCTGACATTTTTTAATAGTGAAATTGATTATGTTACCTGCTGAGGGGATAAACCACATTTGGATGCCACTTCTGTAATACAGAACTCAGTGATCAATCCTGTCTGAGGAAAGCCAAACCCACGAAGACTTGTGTTGGATGGCAGGTTGGTTCTGCATGCCCGACCCAAACAGCGTAGGTTGGGAAACTTGTAAGCATTGTCCATTTTCAGAAGTCCCATTTCTATCACCTGGAGAAATCCAGAGTCAATGTGGTAAGACCCTTATCCTTCCGTACCTGTTTTGCCATTCTGAGACCTTTCTATATCTCCTTTCCACATCTCAACAAACATCCTAAAACACACCATTCCCCCAGTTAAATAGCTAAGTGATTTTTTTTAAGAACCTGAGCAAGTTTCCCTTTGAAACCATTCTTCTTTATATATTTTAGAGTAGTATATTTTCATTTCTACACTTCAAATATTTCTAAAAGCCTCAGAAATAGTCATAAGCCCTAAGCACTAGGTCTGCAGAATGAAATTTTATGGAAAACAGGAAAAAAAAGGTATTTGTTCTATTGCATTGATTCTCAGAAATAGGTAGCCCTCTCTACACCTTTGGGAGATAATTGGCAATATTTCACGGTATTTTTGGTTAAGACTGGAAGGTAGGGTGTCATTGACACGGATTCTGCTAAACATCTTGTAGTTCAAAATTTCAGGAAGGCCAACATTGAGAAAGTCTGTCCAATGCGTGCACCTGAGAGCAGAGTTCTAAGTATTCAAAGTGTGGCAATAACACAAGATCGCTGGGCTCCACCTGTGATTACCAGTAACATTAGACTATTCCAGCATGTGGTCTCTACACTTTTACAATCAAATATTGTTTAAAATTGAACATTTTATGTCTTGGACCATCTTATACAATATTTGTTAAAGAAAGTGAATTGCCTTGCACACTTACCATTAATGACTCATCTAGGGTGCTGCCTCCATTGCTGTAATGCTCCATCTCCAAGGCCAAGATTCTGCCATCATTCATGAACCCAACCTAGAAGAAGAAAAATGGCCTTTGATACTGGCGGGGGGGGGGGGGGGGAGTCTCTCTGAAGTTTGCTTTGCCCTTTGGGAATCTTCCACACATTGAAAAAGTTTCTTGATAGATTTTACAGTTGTTTCTTGACATGTAGCTATATAAGCTAGCTCAGTAGTTTTAGGAAAGCTATATAATCTCTCTGGTTCTCTGTGAAATGAAAATGACTAAGGCAATACATGGACAACATAGACACACAACTGATACATAGCAGTCTACATATAAATCATTAATATTACTATTATAAATACTGTTCTTGTCTATCCTCACACTATTCTCCATTAGAAAACATTTTTTCCTAGCATGAATCATCACCAGGATGGCTTTAGTAACCATAATACAGGGTCTTCCATAAAGTCCTCTGATAATGGACATTTCTGTTTAAATGTTCTGTCATTTCTATTTAATGTAAACGATATCATCATTGTCCTTCCTTCCACAAGGATCTCTCCCTCCAACTGGTTTCTTTCTTCTAGAACCCTCCAAGCCATGTTTATAATTTTATTCTCCATTGTATTTGCCAAGCTTTTCTACACTCTTCGGATCAGACCCAACTGCTTCATGTCTAAATGCATCTGTGTCCTGGTGGCCTACTGGCCTGGTCCTTGCCTCTCTCTTGGTCATCTTCTCGTGATCATCATGTAAACTGCTCCAAACACCCACGTTCAGTGATGGCACTTGTGATCAAGTCATCTTTCATTTTTCTCACATTAGATCAAACTAACTTTCCATTCTGTGTCTCTAGGCCCCTCAATCTCTCATCAATGCACACAGCCAGTCTTATTTCCAGTATTTTCAGTTCTAATTCTTCCATCTCCTTACTCTCATATCAAATGTGTCATGATCATTCTATGTCTGTGTATTTTTACTCTCACTCATCTTACTACTTGATATGTGTTCTTTCTGCCCCTCTATTCTTGAAGGCCTTCACCTTGTCTTAGAAGTCTTCTGAACATACTCCAACTTATATGCATCTCTTCCCGTAGATTTACTTTGTGTACTTCATCTTTTACCCTGCAATTACTGTGTTTCCATGCTGACATCATATGTGTAAACCTTATTCTTTTTTAAAAATAAAACCTTATTCTTTTGTGGAAGGCATTCCTTCCCCAACTTCTCCCCCAAAATAATTTTCTCAGGACAAAGTTCACCTTAATAAATCGTTTAAAATTAAACTAAGGGCTGGGAATGTGGCTCAGTGGTAGAATGCTTGCCTTGCATGCATGAGGCCCTGGGTTCGATTCCTCAGCACCACATAAGCAGAAAAAGCCAGAAGTGGCACTGTGGCTCAAGTGGTTGAGTGTTAGCCTTGAGCTGAAAAGCTCAAGAACAATGCCCAGGCCCAGAGTTTAGGCCCACAACTGACAACAAAACAAAACAAAACAAAACCCCCACAAAAACAAAAAACTAAATCAAGCTAAAAATTCAACTTAGTGTGAAAGAGATATTTTTATTAGCTTCTAGAAATATGTATGTAGGTATACCTGTTGTGGTAGAGACAATGTTAGGCATTCAACAAATCCTGTAGTCTTGTTCTAGATACGCAGAAAGACCATGTTTCCTAACCACCCTTGTAGATAGGTGGCAAAGTTATTGCCAAGGATATTTAAATTCAAGTAAGGTCCACTCCTCACAGGTCTGGTGCCTGAAATTCATCTCCCATGACACCATCTCCTCCCTCTTCCCTTGCTGCTGCCTGCTATGCATAATCCTGTAGGAAACTCAGTCTCTGGACAGAACTATCCTATAGAACTTCCTATAATGGTAGCGATATTCTCTGTGTTCTTTGTCAAATATGGTAGCCATTAGCCACGCATGGATATTAAGCGCTTAAAATATAGCTAGTGTAACTGTGTAACAGAATTTTAACTTTCTTTTTTTTGGGGGGGGGGTCCGATCATGGGGCCTGAACTCTGGGCCTGGGCGCTGTCCCTCAACTCTTCAGCTCAAGGCTAGTGCTCTACCACTTGAGCCACAGCGCCACTTCCGGCTTTTTTCTTTTTGCTTATGTGGTGCTGAGGAATCGAACCCAGGGCCTCAGGCATGCAAGGCAAGCACTCTACCACTGAGCCACCTTCCCAGCCCCTTAACTTTCTTTAATTAAAGTAAATTTAAATATAAATTGCAATAGTCACATACACCTATTGGCTATATATTAGATGGTACAGTCTGAGGGGACTAGTTGCCACCAGATGAAGAAAACTTGGATCCCTGAATGAGTTTTGGGGGGCTAAGTCTTCCCTTCCCCACTCCCCACCACCTCCTTGGGGACATTAGGCTGTTACTTGAATAAGAAATTACTTAATACACATTTAAAATCCCGAGAGTCTTTAGTTGTTTGTCAAAACAGTTAACCACTCTGGCAAGTAGAATGATCTCTTCTAAAACAAAAGAATAATTATTTGCTACATGGGTTAGGGAAATGAACCCTAAGATATGTATTCAAATGTTTTTTTTTTCTTTCATGCGATTGTTTCTAACACATTTATAAGATTATTTCTTTGTTGCTTTGTATGCCCCTCCCCCACAGTATAATCCCTGCTTTCACTGTATTTGACGTCGGTATAATTTGTGGAGGGGAAGGGGAAAAACAAATCGTTTAAATAGGGATACAGGTGGACCCATTGCAACAATGAGATATACAAGTCGTTATGTTCAAAACGAACTTTACAACTTTGGTGCGGGGGTGGGGGAAGAGGATTGGGTGGGAGGGTGGGGAGGATGGGAAGGGATGGGAAGGGGAAACAAAGGAGGAGGCTACAATGCTTGATAAGAAATGTACTCATTATCTTGCCCATGTAATTGTAACCCCTCTGTACAGTATTTTCACAACAAAAAAAGAAAAAAAATTATTCGCTACGTGGAAATAGGATACAGTTTTAGAAGAATGCCCTTGATACATTAAAAATGAAAAACCCATTTGCAAATAATTACAATTTCACATAACACTGTTGTTATCAGAATTATTCTACTTTACCTCTTATATATGTGAAAATAAATACAGTATCAGATCTACTTTCATAAATTTATATACTCACAGGTTTTCTGGTTATTCCCACTGTAATGGACACATTTGAGCTAGTACTTTTTCTCTAATGGACACATTTGAGCAAAGCAGAAAAAGCTTTTTTGAGCCAGCCAGTAATTAAGCAGCACAAGGAACACAGAGTTAAATAGGAATACCACTTGTTCATCTGCCCATTGTGACTCCCCATTAGATTAGTCAAATGCTGCCCTCCGCATTTACGTAATGTTCTATTTGCAACCTCAGACCTACTCCCACCCGTTTTCTACTCACTTTGAACTTTCCCAGGTAAGGGTGGCGGCCTCCAGTTATTAACATGTCTTCTCCTCGTTCCAGAACGCAGCGGACTGCACGACCATGTCTGAGACAGAAAAAAAAAGGCAAAGGGTAGAAAATTCTTATTAAGTAGTTATTATGTGGCATCATGCAGCTTCTAGGGAGAGCTTGAGTGATATCCATGCACATCACAGAAGAGCAAACCTACTCCCACACAGCCTCTTCTGACTGCATCCTGGCTTCAGGTTAGAGCATACGCCTGATGTTAGCTACTTTGGGAGAGAGGCTCTTCGGTACCAAAGGCTCCAGGGTATTGCTATGTGATATTTCTCATTGTGAAAGTACAAAGGTAAGTGATCCCAAGGCCACACATTAAACTAGTTATAAATGGAGGAGCACAAGTGGTATCTGACTTTTAAGAATTCCTGATAGGGACAAGTCTAGAATCAAGGTCTTCTTGTTTCTCAAGATAAAAGAACTGACCAACATTTCTCAGTAAGAAATTACATCTTCTAGTTGTGTCTGTGACAAAAGTAATTTCCTATGGTAATATTTTGAGGCAAACAACAATATAAATAAATAAGCCTAAAAGCAAATGCTCTATTTAACTCAAAAAACAGAATGTATATGCATATACATACTTATATGTGCTTCAAAGAGTCACAGACCTATACATATACTGGTCAGTGTAAGGTACTAAGGTCAAGTAACCTCATCTGTTTGGGATTGATTTTGGTCAACTTTGCAGGTGTGCTAATATTTTTTATTTCATTTTTTCATAATTGATTCTTATTTTGGTTCTAACTGTATATAAATTGATAATAGAAAGCAAAGGGCTTGTGATAAGCTTATTTGTGTTTGATATCATGCACGTTTTAAATAATCTTGGCCCAGATGATCCTTCACCCAGAATTCTTATATTCCACATGACTTGATTTTCTTTTTTGTTTTATTTATATAGCAGTCTTCCTCCACTTACTTGCTGGCAGTGAATGCAGTGATGGCTGCCAGGATGCCCGTTTTGACTATCTTTCCCCCAAATGCCCCACCGACACGTCTTACATGACACATGACCTTGTTAGCTGGGAGTTTCAAGGTTGAAGCAACGATATCCTGTGAATTATAATAGTTTTCATTAATCTGACTCATCTTCAGTAAAGACTTAATTGTAAGCGTCACTGTCACAATCCACAACCTCAACAAAAAGAACCTGTCATCGAAATATGAGTGTGATATGATGGGCAGTATACATGTGATTCTGTAATTCTGTACATGATACACAAATCATGTGGTTATGCTAAATAACAGGGGGAAAACCCACCAATAACCCTGCCATGTTCTCCAACTAATCTCACCATATTTGACTGTAATGATATTGCCAGACGATTGTTAATATTAAGTAGCCCATCAATAGGTGGAAGATAATTCTGTGTTTGCATTTCTTTTCCTGTGAACACCAACCCAGGTGCACTTTCACACTAATCCCTAGGAATAAATTTACTGAAGCAAAAAGATTTTTCTGGATTTCCAAGCCTCTTCAACTTATTTTTTTCCCCTGAATTCTATTCTGTTTCCACTGAAAAAATGAGCACTTCTCTCCTCTTTATCGTGTTACTCATGAAATCAGTTTGTTTGCCCTAAGGTCATGCTGGGAATGAAGAACAGAAAAGAACCAAGATGGAGTTCATCTGGTTCTTCTTATTGTCCTACCATCTCCAAGGCCTTATTCTCCTCATTTTCATATTCTTCCTCTTCTGGTACTAAGATTAGATGAACATTACCTTCTAAATTAAGACTCCTCTGCTTTGTCTCCCTAACTTTCACCCTGAAGCTTAAACCATAAGCCACACCAGTTTAGGCAGTTATTGTGGTAGTCATGGGACAGAAGCCAGGCATGTGAAGGAATGAGTGAATTTAGATCTTGCTGTGGAATTGTCTGGAAATGTCCTTTCTTCTCCTACATTTTGACCAACCTTTTTCTGACCATAACGCCAACTTTCAGGCTTCTTTTTCATGGGACTTTCTGGCACACTTTATCTAATATTGTTTTCTAATCGGCTTCCTGTGAGTTAAGTGCAATACACTTTGGAAAGCAGATTTTCTCTTTTGTTCTTTTCTTTCTTTTCAATGCCAAGAACAGAGCAAAAGCTATGTGCTGATTGCATTGTTTTAATGTCACAGATCCACAAACAAAAGCCTTTGCTTCAGTAAAATTCTTCCAGAGGTTTGGAAATTGTATGACTATTAGTATCCAAATCAATACGGCTATTTTTATTCAATATTACTTTGGTTCCTGAAGAAATGACTTTTTTACCTCTAAATGTTTTTGGTACATTTTGCTGACAGAAATTGTGCAGCCATTTCCTTCCACATCCATACCTGTATGTATCTGGGACCCTGTGTGGACACATAGATATCCAATTCTTGGTCCTCTCCTTTGGGAACAACAAGCATGCTTTGGGTTTCCATATAAAAATGTTCTTGACCTCCCATATGTATTTCACCTGTTATAGAAAAATATTGAAAGTCAAGGAACTCATCAGGAAGAATGGTAGTTGCCCCTAATCTAATGTCATTATGCAGAAACTTCATTGACCTTGCCCCAGACCACACAATGGATAACAAAACACAGAATTTAGCTTCCAGTATATCACTTGAAGGAGAGTTGTATAGGGAAATGTGCAAGGGCACTATAAAAGGCTGCAGAGTCTTAGGGGAAGTTGTGTGAGGAGTTTCTAGACTCAAAAATACTATAGCAAGGCAATTTCCACTTCCAAGACAAGATGAAAAAGTACTTCTCCCTGTTCTTCCTGTTAAATACAAGAAGGGTGTGAGTGGATCATAAAAAATTGAGTCACTATGTCATACTAAAACCTGGTGTCAATAAGTATAGGGGAAAACCCCTCAGATTGTATACATTTCCAAAACTGTATTACAAGTCCAATTCAAACTACTTAGGGCATAAACCATAGCTCAAAAAAACAAGGCTTGCCTACCAGCTATCTATACTTGCCAGTCAGAACATAACAGTGCTAGTGCCAGTGGGGACTCAATGGGTGGGCTCAACAGCGCAATAGGAGCAGCAGAGGAAATGATTCATGAACAAGAACATGTAGCAGAAACTTGTCAATCTAAACAATGGAATAAATAGACTGGAAAAAAATGAACAGACTCTTATAGTCTATGTGACAAATTTTTTTTAAAAAACTTAACATTTGTATCATTGAAAACAAATATTTGAAGAAATAATGGTCATATTATTCTGCAAATTTGGCAAAGACACAAACCTACAGATTCAAGAAGCTGAGTGAATTCAAATGGGATAAAACCAAAGAAATCCATGTCAACACACATCATAGTTGAATTTCAGAAAACTAAATGGACAGAAACTATCTTGGAAAAAAAAAACAAACTATTTTCAGACAGAGCAAAACACCACATCATCTGTGGGGAAAGAGCACTTCAGAAGACAGTAGATTTGGGGCTGGGAAGGTGGCTCAGTGGTAGAGCACTTGCCTTGCAAACCTGAGGCCCTGGGTTCGATTCCTCAGCACCACATAAGCAAAAGAAAAAAGCTGGAAGTGGCGCTGTGGCTCAAGTGGTAGAGCGCTAGCCTTGAGCTGAAGAGCTGAGGGACAGCGCCCAGGCCCAGAGTTCAAGCCTCATGACCGGACCCCCGCCCCCACCCCCCCCAAAAAAGACAGTAGGTTTCTCTTCAGTAACTATGGAGACCAATCAAAATGGTACAAAGTCTTCAAATCAGAAATGTATACCCAATGAAAAAGATCATCAAGAACAAAAAAGAAATTGTTATCCTCAGCTGAAGGAAAATCAGCAGAGTTTATTTCCAACAGACCTACCCTAAAATAATGAATCCAAAGAAATTTGGGAACAATGTTTTAAAACATGAAACAAAATCTTAGATTGTTTCAATATTATTCTTTCTTCCAATATGGAGTACAGATAAATATAATAGACTCTTTTCTTAAGTTTTCTAAATTGTGCTAAAACAAAAGCTGGGCACTGATGGTTCATACCTGTAATCCTAGTATCTCAAGAGAATAAGATGAAGATTGTAGTTTGAAGCCAGCCTGGCAGGAAGTCCATGAGACTCTCATCTCCAAAAGCTGAATATGGAACTGTGGCTCAATTGGCTCAGACCCTGACTTTAAGCCCCAGGGCTGGCACACACACACACACACACACACACACACACACACACACACACACCCCACACAATTATAGTTTTGTTTCTAAAGTAGTACAGGAAATAGTTGAGAAAATTATTAATAGTTAAGAAAAGTATTAAGAATCTTATGAGCCGGGCGCTGGTGGCTCACGCCTGTAATCCTAGCTACTCAGGAGGCTGAGATCTGAGGATCGTGGTTCAAAGCCAGCCCGGGCAGGAGAGACCATGAGACTCCTATCTCCAATAAACCACCAGAAAACCGGAAGTGGCGCTGTAGCTCAAGTGGTAGAGTGCTAGCCTTGAACTGAAGAGCTGAGGGACAGTGCCCAGGCCCAGAGTTCAAGCCCCACGACCGACAAAAAAAAAAAAAAGAATCTTATGAATGGAGATGAATAATGAAAAGGAAGAGAGTTTTGGCTTGACACTACATGAATTGATAAACTGTTGATATCTGACTGTGACTGTGATGTAGACAGACACACAGACAGACAGATACATACATAGATACAAAGATATAATTATAGAGAGATACACACAGATAATAAGCTATTTATATATAAATACATAATATATGGTTTTTTTTTTTTGGTTCCGGTCGTGGGGCCTGAGCTCTGGGCCTGGGCACTGTCCCTCAGCTCTTCAGCTCAAGGCTAGCACTCTACCACTTGAGCCACAGCGCCACTTCCGGCTTTTTTCTTTTTGCTTATGTGGTGCTGAGGAATTGAACCCAGGGCCTCAGGCATGCAAGGCAAGCGCTCTACCACTGAGCCACCTTCCCGGCCCCCATAATATATGTTTTTAAATGTCTGTAACCTCTCCTTTCTACTTCACAGTGCCTCCTTCTCTTCACCCTCAGGTGAATTTTTTCATTTTAAAAGTTTTACTTCCAGTTAATATGACAGCCGCTCATGCTTGTTTGTTCCCTCATATACTCTGTTGGTTCCCTCTGTTTTTCACTACTTCCCTACCTGCACATTGTTGGGAATTTCAATTTGATCTATCTGTCGTCCTTTTGAATATCTCTCCTTATGTAAACTTTTTTTTAAAAAAAAGTCCATATATATCTCAACTCTATCAAGGCTAAAACCAGTTTGACAAATTAATCATTGAGCTACAATTTTATCTTACTATGGGCTTAGGAATGATCCCCCCAGATATTTTCATTTTAATAGAGACCCTTAAAGACCAAAGAGCCACTTAGATATGAACGTGTCTATCTGTACTAAGCCAAACAGGTCAGGTCAGTCATAGGAAAGGTAACCTGTTTCAGAGTTCTGTGAGTAGCTCTAGCAAATCTTACACCTGAGACACATGGAGATGAATTTGTGAATGAGTTTATCAGCTCCTAAGCAGCAGAGCACACTGAGATGGTCAGATGATATTCTAAAAGTCAAATGAAGACTTAAACTAGAAAACTTTCTCAGAAGACTTTCTGGATTGTTTCCTCTTTCATCATTTTTATTCAAAATCTTACCTTCAAGAATTTGGTCAACCACTTTAAATGCTTCATCAACATTTCCACATTCCAGTTTCCTTTCTTGCTCCAAGAAGGACTTGTGTTGTATAGCATCCTAGAAAGAGGACAGAAAGGTGAAGCAGCCTGAGAAAGAGCTCCAGCCCCATGGCAGTAACCACGGATACAGTGTTTCTCCTCTTGCTCTAGAATTCACTCACCATTTCTGTGGCCTTGGGGAGCTGAGCTCAGGAGACTTTAGAGATTCTCAGGGATTAAATGCAAATTTGACCAGTGAGTCCAAAGAAACTAAGCATGTTCACGACAAAATGAAACAAACACAAAAAACCTGGTGTGTAGGTGATCCTAGATTGAACTAGTATTTTCTGGGAAGATTATTCTCTTAGAAAACCCCTTTAAGGTATCCAAGGCCAGTAAGGACAAGGGTTCAGAACTGGGCTTGGACCCAGATCTAGAGCTACATTTTCTCCATCTACTAGCTGTTGACTGTAGGCCAGGTAATTCCCTTCCCTGAACCTCATCTATACAATAGAAGTTGCAGTTGTACATATTGCTCCAGGACAGTTGTGAAATCAGACATGTAAATAGCTTACCTGGCATAAAGTAAGTGCTAAATAAATGCTAAATGAACACACTAATGTTTGGAATAGTGGAGGCCTCACCTGCTAGTCCCACCCTCCTTTTTCAGGGAGACAAATGCCTCATTCTCACCAGACAGGGGAGCACCAGACAACACCAGCCCTGGAACACCAACCTTTACAAGTTCTGCCTGGGTGCCACAAATCCACTTATATACTGGTTATATACTGCTGTGATATCATTATAATAACCTGGGATGATTCTTTTATCTGTAATCAAGGATGTCACTGCAATTATCTAGCTCGATTTCCTTACCTATCTTTGGACATTTATCTTGTTGTAAAGGGTCCACTGGCAAATGTGACCTCTAGTTTGTGCTAGCATTATCCACTATGGATTATTGGCCATCCATGGGATTCTAGCCTGCTGAAAGTTGAGGATTTTCATCACTCTGGATGCTTTGGCCACTTACGCCTGTACCTGCCTACATCTCTATCCAAACCATACATCTTGCAGGTACGCTCTTTTGTGATCCTACTGTTTCCTCCATTGAAAAAGTGGGTTTGAGCTAGTGCAGTAGCTCACACCTTACCTATTTTGATAACATTCTTCCTACTAGAATCAATGTATGAGTTCAATTTTTTATTAATCAAAGCTCAGATATCCCTCAGGTTGAAACAAGGAACAAAATTATCTGAATCCCATTTTTAAAATTTTAATCATTTTCAACTACACTAGGTGCTTGCTCTTTGAACCAATTTCCCAAAAATGTGCCTGTAAAGATACTATAGCTCTCTGTGACTGGTGTTGGTTTAATCCATTCTGATTCAGATGATTGGCCTTGAAGAACTTAACTTCTGATTATATTATGATCTATGAAAGGTAATTATTTCCACAGTGTCAAATCAGGCAGTTAGGGATCTGCTGGTTTCATTGCGGGGAGACAGGAGGAAATGATACTGGTTTACTTATTTGGACTTTTATTTGTCTGGAGGGTAGGAAAAGGAAGAGAGAATATTTAAGCTACCATATTGGGGAAGGAATTGCATGCAAACTTTTTTTTAAGGCCAGTCCTGGGGCTTTAACTCAGGTCCCTGGCTCTGTCCCTGAGATTTTGTGCTCAAGACTAGCACTCTATCATTTGGGTCACAGCTCCACTTGTAGGTTTTTGGTGCTTAATTGGAGATGAGAATCGCATAGACTTTCCTGCCTGAGCTAGATTCAAACTGGTATCCTCAGATTTCATCCTCTTGAGTTAGCTAGGATTAAAGGCATGAGCCCCCAGTGGCCAGTTTGCATGAAAACTTTTGATTAAGTTTTTTAGAAATATTTTCTTTTTTAGGGGGCTGGGAAGGTGGCTCAGTGGTAGAGCGCTTGCCTTGCATGCCAGAGGCCCTGCGTTCGATTCCTCAGCACCACATAAGCAAAAAGAAAAAAGCCGGAAGTGGCGCTGTGGCTCAAGTGGTAGAGTGCTAGCCTTGAGCTGAAGAGCTGAGGGACAGCTCCCAGCCCCAGAGTTCAGGCCCCACAACCGGACAAAAAAAAAAAAAAAGAAATATTTTCTTTTTTAGAAGTAATTCTAACTCACAGACAGTATTTGGAGAAAAGAATATATAAAGTATATATGTATAAAGTATACATATAAAGTTTCATTGGCAACAAATGGATGGAAGGCCTGAGAAGAAAACAGAATTTGAATTTGAAACCATCCAGGGAAATTTGTGATGTCTAATCACACTTTAATTCAACCAAACTTCTGTATTTTGTATTAAAATATAATAAAATTTTATTTTAATTTAAAAATACTAGCTTGGTATAGCGGCATATGCCTATAATCCCAGCGCTAGGAAAGCTGAAGCAATAAATCATGAGTTCAAGGCTAATATGGACCACACAGGACTTTGTCTCTAAAATAAAATACATAATTAAAAATGCCAAGGGAAATACCACCTTCCTTAGCACAACCTATCTAATGGGAAACACATCCAAGACCAAGTTCTCCTGATGATACTAGTCTTGACCAAGTCATGTTCTCATTTTCTGCCTGAGGCCACACTAATCTCCTAGTAGTTATTCACTATATTGTGAAGATCTCATTGTTCCAAGAGGACACAGAGTCTGTACATATTGAATCTAGTCTACTCGGTGATTTTATTCTTTTTTTAAATCAGTCCTAGAGCTGGAACTCAGGGCCTGGGTTCTGTACCAGAGCTTTTTCAGCTCAAGGCTAGCGCCACTTCCAGTGGTTTTATTCTTTAATTCTTTAGTAAATTATAAGAACCAATGAAATATCTATGTAAGAACATTTCATGGAAATAAATCTATAAATTTCCAATTTTCTTTCAAAAAATTAGGATAGAAAAAAATTAGGATAGAAAATACAACTCTCCAAAAAGGTGCAATGCCTATGTACATCTGATCATATAAAATAATATTTATTAAAATGAATTCCAGGACATGGAAACAGGATTTTTTTCTTTGTTGCTGTTTTTGTTTTCTTTTCTTTTGTCTTGATTGTTCATTTATCTGTCTTTGGGAGGGTAGGGAAGGGACACAGGAACGGAGAGACATACAGTAGTGATACTCATGAGATACTATGTGGGAAATGAACTATACAACTTGTGGGTGGGGATGGAATGGAAAAACTGGGAATAAGTGAGGTGACATTTTCCAAAAAGAAATGTACTTACTGTCTGACTTAATGTAACTATAACTTATTTCTACATCACCTATATAAAAGCAATTAAAAGTTAAAAAAGAAAATAAACTCTAATTTTAAGTTGCCAAAATGCCTGATGGCATCATAGGACCCAGGCCTCATACTCATTTGAGATACGCAATAAAATCTAAATGGAGTGTCTTCAGTTTTTGTTGAATAGTCCACTTTATCAGTGCTCATGCTGTACCTGTCAGAGCCTGAGAGAAGGTTAGCCAGAGCTACAGGGTGGATCTATTGTCCTAGACATTGTTGGCTGTCTAGTATCCTTCTTTTCTTCAGTCCAGGGGGACAATTTTTGTTTAGGTCTCTACTGCTCTAGACAGTCATGTGCTTAAAAAAAACATGATTTCACCTTCGGCCTCAGCTGACCAACAGTTCCTTGGTTCCTCTGGCTACTCATTAATGCTGAGACACACATAGGACCTAACTAGGCTGGATTTCAGATTTCTGCTGGGTCAATATTGTGCCTTCACTCATTGAACATGAAGAAGGAAGCCAAGAACTCTAGATGCTGTCTTTGAGCAGCATGTGATTTTGGAAGTTACCTTGAGTCAGGAGATGCCAAAAGCATTTTTCTGATATACCACTGGCCTTGTGGCCTCTAAACTGACACTACTTTATTCTCATTACCTCAATTGTTAGGATCAGTGGCTTCAAGTCTTGGTAGACAATCTTCACTCTCTCAGCAGCTCGTCTTGCCTGAATCTCAGAATCTGCAACCACGGCACAGACAAGTTGACCCACACAAAATACCTATGACACAGAAAGACTTTTGTGGTCCAGGAAGGCAGAGGACAGACTCACTCCCAGCACGGGCTGAGACACACAGTCTTTGTTAATAGCGCTTAATGACACTATAAGAAAATATAAAACACCAAAGTGGCTTTCATATAACTAAGTCAACTTCTCTACTTTCTTAGAATATCAATATTTGATAATAACTCTATTAAATTATTAATATTTTATAGGAAGTATATTTTAAAAACCAGTGTGTTTTATGATGTTTCAAATTAGATGCTATCTTTAAGAAAATCCAAAATGCTATTAGCTGAGAATGTTATTTTTTCAGATAGAGAACAAAGGTGTATACTTCATCCGTTGCCAGAAGTGGCTCTTCAGCAAAGGAGTTCATGTCCTTTAGCTGTTCGGCAGTCACAATGTCCACCACACCTGGCAGGCTGAGCGCTTCGGACAGATCCATGGACCTACGTGACAACATACCACACAGGACCCCGTCAAGAGGCTATGCACACAGCCCACAGTGCATTGAGAACAGTCAGAAAAGAAGATACAGGTAAGAGCTACTCAAGTCATTCTCCGCCATATATCTGGGAAGAAATTTAGGGGATTAGGATGTTATGATATGAAAGAAAATCTGGTAATAAATCTGCTGTTTCAATCTTATTTCACCTTTTGTCTGCCTTGGATATTGCCAACAAGCATATCATAGCTTTCCACTAATGGACTGAGGCAGCTAAGGAGGCAATCATGAGGGTTATGGGTAGAACACTCACACAATCTTAGCATGAGCTCTTGAGCTAGTTACAAACGTCAGGAAAAGCTCCTGGTCCACCGCAGGCATATCATCACAGTAGACGGCTTCCCCAGTGGCATGCTTAATACCAGACAGATGCATTATGGGCCGGCCAATTGGGTCTTGAAGAAGCTGCCTTGGATTGACATTCTGTTTAATAAACAACCAACATGTAATTTTTATATTTCTGTAGCAAAAACAGGAATACTCATGTAATGCATCTCTCCCATAAGAAGGGTAGTTATACAATTTGCCCCCAAGCCAGGACATGTTGAGAAAACAAAGCAGTCACAATTCATAATAGCACCAGGACAATAAGTCTTTTTATGATAATTCAACAGTCAATTAGACTAGATAGCTATGATGCAAGGCTTTTCCTCTCCTGCAGCGCTTTTTCCTGAGATCCTAAAATCTTTTTATTTATTAACTTTTTTATTGGGAAAATACTGTACAGAGGGGTTACAATCACAAGGTAATGAGTACATTTCTTATCAAGCATTGTTGCCTCCTCCTTTGTTTTTCCCCTACCTTCCCTTCCCTCCCATCTCCACAACTACATCCCCCCCATGCCAAAATCGTAAAGTTCATTTTTCGACATAGCGTCTTGTACATCTCATTGTTGCAGTGGGTCAATGGAAATTCCATTTGCATAAGTAAATGAACCTAAATCTTCCTTCGGGGAAGAACTATAAAATTATATTCTCTTGCTAGTGTTCATATATTTTGCATATAGAGATTAAGGTATGAGTATGGATTTGAAGCAGCTCCAATACACACCAGACCCACTGATATAGTGCTATGTCCTCATGACCAGAGCTCTTAGCAATTCTCTTCTCTCTTTCCTTTTGATCAGATGGTGATCAAAAGAAAAAGTGCTATGGGGGTTCTAACAGCTACATTTTTTTCAGATAGTAGGAACTGATTCCTTTGTACAATATCCCCTAAAGTGTGGAATGATGATGTCCTATTGGGCTCTCAGCTCCCACAATACTTCAGTAAAAATTACCCACATCTTTTTTTTTTTAGTATTTTTTTATTGTAAAGATCCTGTACAGAGTAGTTACAGTTACATGAGTAGGGTAATGAGTACATTTCCTATTGAGTATTGTTAGCCCTACCTTTGTTTTTCCCCTACTATCCCTTCCTTCCCCACCTCCCCGCCCCCCCCCCCCCCCCCCCGAAGTTGCAAAGTTCATTTTCAACATTGTTACAATGGGTCACCTGTATCCTTGTTTCAGCATTTTGTTATTTCCCTTCCCCTCCCCAAATTAGGAAAATGTATATACAAGATGCAGGGCACTGGAATCAAATACAGTGAAAACGGGTTATACCACGGGGGAGGAACACACAAAAAAGAAACCTCATCTTTTTTTTTAACTAAGAGACTTTTAGTTTTATTTTATCATTCTGAAAAGCAAAATGTTAGCTAACTCAAGCTTGTTCCTAGAGTTTTCTGTTGCTAACACTTTTAATGTAAAGAATAAAACCTATCATAACATTGACAGAAGTCTTTGAATTCTAACTGTGTGAGGCCTGCCAAAACATTGAGGAAAACTTCCAAAATATATCTTTCTTCTTTTGAGTAGGCAAATATGAAACAGATTACATGTACACCGCAGTCATCTGTAATGATCTATTAATGTGTTTATTTGATTGCTTTCTGCATGCTCTATGCTATGGCTAAGACACTGTTCTCTTGTCCTACAGCAGATGATCTCAAGCTACATGGTGGAGTGTAGATCATGAATGTCCCCAAAGACCTATGCATTACAGGCTTTATCCCCAGCAGGCTGATTTTGACAGGTAGTAAAAACTTTAAGAGGTAGGGCCTACTGAGGGATTTCACATCATTGGTGGAATCCCCTTGAACAGAGCTGTCTCCATCTCTTCCTCTTTCTCCTTTTCACTTCCTGGCCATGAGGCAATATTTTCTCCACTCTGAACATCTGCCCTACCAGAAATCTAAAAGCAACAGGTTTACCTAACCATGAACTAGAATTTATCCCATACTGTAAGCCAAAATAACAACTGGGCATTAGTAGCTCATGTCTATAACCCTAACTACTCAGCAAGCTGAGATCAGAGGATCTCTGCCATCTCAGGCAGAAAATTCCTTGATACTTCATCTCTAAAAGAGTCAGCAAAAATCTAGTGTAGAGGAGTGACTCAAGTGGTAGAGCACCAGCCAAGCAAGCATGAATTCAAAGTTTGTACAAGTGAAAAAGAAACTCTTTTTAAGTTGATTATTTCAGGTATTGGTTACAGTGATGGAAAGTTAACTGAAACACTAGTAAAATTCTTTTGTGTTAATAAAATAATCTGAGCGAAAATGCTCATTGTGAAGGTTATAAAGTTACTCTAGCAACATGGAACTTGTGTGTGTGTGAAAGACATAGGAAAAACAAAAACAAAACTCCTCCATCTGGAAAATAAGCTGCATCCCAAATATTGTCTTGAAATCTATAATAATAACCCCCTCAGTTTAGCTGACTTGAATGCCCACTGATTTGTTGCTATTCCTTTTTGAAATGCATTCCCTTGCCAAGGCACTGTTAGGATATTTGTAAGTGGAAGATTGTGAATTCTATATTTCACAAAATGCCAGGGACGATGGCAGCTGTTTTTAATGTTCAAAATGTTCATTTCTAAATAAGTTTTGGTATATTTGAATTTTTGAACATCTTTAACTTAAAACTTCAAGGGGTATACAGCAACATGAGTATTCATTATAACACACTGTAGGCCTTTATAACTAAATCCAACAACAGATTCAATGAACTGGTGTTTTTAAAACTCTCTCCCTATTCTTGACTTACACTCTCTGTCAAGTTTCTTAATATTAATTCCAAGGAAAAACACATCAAGTTTCATCTAATTTGGGATGTACTTTATGATGTTGTGTCAGAAAATTCCATTTGAAGGTTATGAGAAATTTTGTTCTTTTTAATAGCTTTCATTCGAAAGGCTGGTAAACAGCTAGAAGAAGTCATGTTTGATTGATCTCTAAACTGTAACTCATAGAAAACCTACTAGAACTAGGAGGGATTTGAGGTACAATATTGAGTCAATATCTTATAGACTATGTCCACATTTGATAACAAAACAAATCAGCACATCTCATAAAACTGTTCCTTGTCAAGCACTGGTAGCTCACACCTGTAATCCTACTTACGCAGATGGCTGAGATCTGAGGATCACAGTTTAAAGCTAGCCCAGGCAGGAAAGTTTGTGAGACTCTTTTATCTCTGATTAAACACCAAAAAATGAGAGGTAGAACTGAGTACCAACCTTGAGTGAAAAAGCTAAGGGACAGTGCCCAGGCCCTGAGTTCAAGCCCAGTACAGGCACACAAATAAATAAATACATACATACGCACATAAATAGGTAAATGAATAAATGTGGCATTGCCTTTACATTAGCTTATAGGTACTGTCTGGCACCTCAGATGAAGCCAGAGCAACTAGGGCCCAATTTAGACACAACTTTGTACTTTGACAATCACAAAGCGAAGGGCAGAAAGCATAGCAAATTGGGTAGCTCCTTTATGTTAATGCCACAAGTCTATAGTACAAAACACATGACTGCTAAGATCAAAACAGATGCTTTTGTTTAAAATTACCAGTGCTAGTTTTGTTTTTCTTTGTGAATCTTCATTGGTTTTGAAGTGTGTATGTGTGTGTGTGTGTGCGTGTGTGCATGTGCGCGCACATGTATGCACGCACAGCACATGCACATGTGGTGCTAGAGGTTTAACCTAGGGCCTTGCCTCTGCTAAGCTAATGTCCTACTATCAAGCTACACTGCTAGCCCAGTTTTGAACTGTTCCTTTTTTTGGGGGCAGTACTAGGGATTGAATCAGGACTTCATGCTTGGTAGGCAGGTACGCTACTACTTGAATCACACCTCCAGCTTGGCTTTGCATTGGTTATTTTTAAGGTGGAGGTCTTGCTCTGTATTCAGGCTGGCCTGGGATACAATCCTACTACCTATTCCCACATTGATTGGGATGAACTTCTCAGCCATTGGTGGGAGGCCGGTGGGTCACACTTTGCCCAGGCTGACTTGGAACCTCAATCCTCTGATCCCTGCCCGACCACTTCCTCCATAGGTAGCATTCATCTGGCTTTGATTCTAAACTTCTAATTTACACTGAAGGAGACTGTGAACTCATAAGAAGGGCTGCTTGGGCCTATTAAGCTTGAGAGTCACTGAGAGGCGGTGGGGTGTCCAGTTGAAGTTACCATAGCCCAGAATCTTGGGAGCAACAACAAAAGCAAAGATAAAAAAGCTTCTCACCGGGTAGTTTAGTGTTTGCCAATGGTGTCTGGAGTGAAGATCTTCTAAAGCACTCTCATAGTTGTCTGCCAGGCTAGGACAGTGAGATGGGTCCTGCAAAAAGGAGAACCTTGGTAGATATTTAGATAATATTAGAACTATAAAGGGAACTTTTAACTGATGTCATTTGGCTCACTAAGGAATGGTCTTAGTACACTGTTCATTTTGAGGAGAGTCTGCCATTGGCTGAATTTCTTGTTTCTTATGACCTGGCAATAGTATTTCACTTATCTATGATCTCAAGACTCCCATCTTAAACCCTCTGGTTTCCCTCTATACTGAGAAGATACCTTCCTTCAAAGCAATGATAAGCTAGACACCAGTGGCTTATTCCTATATTTTCAGCTTCTCAGGGGGCTGAGACCTGTGAATCTTGGTCCAGAGCTAGCCCCGGCAGACAAATCTACAATGCCTTAATCTCTAATTAACCAGCAAAATGCTAGAAGTTGAGGCATGACTCCAGTGGTAGTGGCACCAGCCTTGAACAAAAAAAGTCCTGTGAGAATCAAGGCTCACTACTGGCAAAAATAGTTAAATAGATAAAATAATAAGTGAAGACTTTGTGGCACTTACTTAAAATTTTAATAAAAGGATTTCCAAACCAATAATAGCTTCTAGTCTAGTGTGGTTGGCTGGTTGTGGTATGGGGCTCGTGAAGCCATGGCTCAAGTTTCTTTTGGGTCAAGCAAAAGGAATGCAGAGAATTCTTTCTTTCAGTTCTGCCCTCGCTAGCCAAACGTTTTGTCACTTGAGTTGGCATGAGTGAGACCAGGCACAGAATGTCTGTCTTATCTGTGTTGTGGTTCTGACTAAGTAATCAGTAGCTCTGAAGCACAAGGGTCCAGAACCAGCCCTTTCCTAAGATGACCATGCAGTAGGTGCCATCATTTCCTGCATGAGAGAAAAGCAGCAGGGCCCAGAGAGGAAAGCCAAACACAAGAAGGCAAAACCTCTTCAAGTGGAAGAAAAGAGGTTGGATCATTCTATTCCAAAGCAACTCAGCAGGGCGGGGCCTTTACTGTGGACATCGCCATATCCCTCCAACACTGGGAGAACTAATACATGGCCAGTTCCATTTACCATTCTCTTCAAAATCTGTGACACTTCCAGGTAGAACTGGAAGAGGAAGCTGATGATGAGGGTCCTTTTGAACTCCACTTTCCCTCCTGGAGCCCAGCCTGGAAGGGAGACTTCATCCAGCACCAGCCTGCAGGCTGTGTCCAGCATCTCTTCATTCCAGGGCCTGGGAGAGGTAAAGGAAGAGACTCCTAGGCTGGTAGGACTAGTTATACAGTTGTACTAGTATATAGTATACTAGTGTATATACTGTATATATTCTGTATACTAGTTATACAGTTTCAGTGAATATTGTAAGACAAATAGCTACTCTGGAATGTAAGAAATAAGAGTAAAGTTCTGGTGTCAGGCAAGCCATGTTCACAGCAGTGTACCATTTCTCAAAGTGTCTAGTTTGAGTTTCACTACCAAAATCCTTAGCTGTCTTGGAATGGTGATACATCCCTGTAATCTCAGCACTAGGGAGGCTGAGCAGGAGAACTGAGAATTCAAAGCCATCTTACATAATAAGAGTCTGTCTCAAAGACTAACAAACAAACCAAAATGAAACAAACTGTTGTTACTTCAGGAATCCATTCTGTCTGTTGCTAGGACGTTTACTGTGTGTCCAGTTCTACGTTAACACTGTGAAAGCATTCATTCATTTAATCTTCTCAATTGAATATTTAGGAGTTGCCTGTCTTTGACAGGCAAGGAAACTGAAGGACCATAAATTTAAGTGAACTGACTGGGATCACGTAGAGGCTGAACTGAGATTGTGGTCAAGCAGTCTATCTCACCAAAGGCTTAAAGTGCATGCTTTTAACTGTGATTCTTTATTACTTTGTTATTACCTGTAGACAGAGGAAGTAAGGTAAGTAAATACATCTAGCAATTAATTGTAGAACAAACTTATATAATCTATTTTTATGACAAAAATATGGGATGATGGGCATTCTCTCTCTTGTCTCTAATATATGTTATCTCTCTCTCTCTCTCTCTCTCTCTCTATATATATATATATATATACATACATACATACATACATATATAAACAATCATGATATCTTCCTGGAATTTCCTGCCATTAAATAGGTTACAATGAATCAACTGAAATGCAATAGACTTTATGAAGAGCACAAACAGTAAAAATTCTTTAAAATGACTAAGTCAAAGCACAACAAAATAGGTGCCAGGAAGTGGGTACTTGCAAGAGGGCAAGCAAGGTGGGGCCAAGGGGAGGGGGAAGAGGAATGAAAGGGGAAAGGGGGAGAATGCAGACAAGAACTCATTGTAAGTATCTCAAACTGAGATATACAAGGGAAGGGGTGGGTTGAAGGGGTGTGTGAAGATGTTGAAGTGGTAACACAGATCAAGATTCATTGTAGGACTGGGAAGGTGGCTCAGTGGTAGAGTGCTTGCTTTGCATGCATGAGGCCCTGGGTTCGATTCCTCAGCATCATATAAGCAGAAAAAGCTAGAAGTGGCACTGTGGCTCAAGTGGTAGCGCTTGCCTTGAGCTGAAGAGCTCAGGGACAGTACCCAGGCCCAGAGTTCAGGCACCACTATCAACAACAATAACAAAACAAGATTCATTGTAAACATAAATTGCTTTGTTAAATTGCAAAAAAAAATAAAAATCAATACATAACCTAAACTGAAGATAAAGGAATGACTGGGTTGGTGGGTAAGAATGTTGAAAGGGGTGACATTGGTCGAGATGCACTATATTCATAATCTACTTTGGTTTATGACAACTCCTTTGTACAACTACTTAAAGACAATACACATTTTTTAATGGGAAAGTTATAATAATTACATCTTGCCACTGATCAGGTGGCTGTTACTGGAGTGTAAGAACTCGATGCTTTACCTTCCAATGAGTTTCTGGCAAGAATTCTTGGCACAGATGGTGGTTGATCCGACACCTCCATACAAGATGGACAACTCTTTAATTATGCCGTCCCCTTCTCCGAAAAAGACTCTCATTCCTGAATTGACGATGGCTAGTGCATTCTGTCGCCGCTGGGCTTGTCGGAAGGCGGACACAAATTCCCACTGCAACGAATTTAGGTGACCCATATAGAAACACAGAATGACAATGGAGTGCCAGCGTGTATACTGTGCCACTGAATTCATGTTGTATCCTCTCTTACCCTATCCCCTCGAAGACAGATGTTCAAAACCCCCAGGACTTCAGTACTTTGGACATAAATCTTCAGAGAGCAAAAGTTAAAATGGGATTATTACCTTGATAGTAAAATTAAATTTAAAAAAATGGGATTATTAGGCAGGGGCCTTTTAAGAAGAGGGACTTTGGACATAGACATGAAAGAGGGAAGATCATGTGAAGGCAGGAGGAGATGACCAAGGCCAGAAGTCTGACCTTGACATCAGACACCTGTTGGAACTTCTAGAAAACAAACCTTTGTTGTGCAAGCCAAGAGTCCGTACTTATTTGCTCTGACAGCCTTAGGAAATGAGCATGTCCCGAGTCAGGCATGATTACTCCCACGCTACAGGTGAGCAATCAAAGGCTTGGAGTGATCTAATGATTAGTTCAGGTCTTGAAACCAGAACTCAAACCTAAGTCTCTGCCTTCGAAGGCCTTGCTTTCCCCCACTAAGTTCTACTGCAAATGTATTTTTTAGCCTCTTTCAAATCCCAAGAAACAAACAGAGGTATATTCTTGTGTCTCATTTAGGGAAAAGCCTGGTGGGACAAAAGTTGTATTTTACCTTTTTCTTTTTTAAGTACTGGAGTTTGAACTTGGGACCTTTTGTTTGCACATTGCCACAAAGCCACTCCTTCAGCCCCTTTGCACATTATTTTTTTTCATAGTTGCAAATAATTTGCCAGCATTCTTCCTCTGTTATCCTCCTTCTTTATGAGATTGGTCTTCCTTCCTGCACATGCATATGCATGTGTATCTCCTGCATATGCCCATGTTGGCTTAGAACCATGATCTTCCCAAGCTTGGACTCCTAGTAGTATGATGACTAGTAGTGAGCCACTGACACACATCAAAATCCTATTTATGCTTCCAGTGTAGCTGAGGTGACAAATGCACTCTATCACATCCAGCTTATTGGTTGAGATGGAGTCCTGTTAACTTTTATGGTCCCAAACCATAAGCTCTGCTTTCCAAGTGGCTGAGATTATAGGTATGAACTACCATGACCAGATGTTAAAAAGTAACTTTAGGATTTGTGGAGAGGGGAGCATGAGAAAGTTCTGGTTCTAGGAATACTAGGAAAAGTGTATAACACAAATGAAAGCCAGCTAGACATAAGGCCTGTAAAACAGTGGTGCTAGTTGCTCCTCCAGTGGAGTTTTCTCTCCTCGGCAAACACTCCACATTTTTTTCTGAGCCCCTCAATGCTGGGATAAAGGAGTTATGGACCCAGAGGTAAACCGGAAAGGATTTCCTCACCTTCCTGGAATAGGGGATGTTCACTGAGACCAAGATTTCCTGAGACTTCAGATCCGCACCAGGACACTTGCTGAGAAATTGTTCATTTAAAGGGATCTGCCGCTCCCCTTCTGTGGAAAGAATTGACATTTTCCCTTGGAGTGGTCAGTCTATTAAGTAACTTCCAAAATGTGAGAAGTGATTCAAATTCATCAGGAAACTGGTTGTTTGGGGAAAGAAGTGCTGTTTCTATGCTTACAAGCCTTTTATCCTCTGATGGCATCTGGCTAAGATTCTTCTAGTCTAGGACCCTCTTTCTCCCCGCCTTTTTTTTTTTTGCTTGCTTATAGATAAGAGATACTCAGCAGAGTAACAACAAGTTTTAGCTCAAAGAGACCCTTGAAGTCTCTCTTCCTGAAAGTATAGTTCTCTTACAGCCTTGCCAGGAGTGGATACTAATGTTACTTTTGATCGCTGCTCAAGTCAGTCAACAAACACCCACTGAATAACCAGGAACCCAATGAGTACAGTAAGTAGTGAGTTAAAAAAATATCCCCTCCAATGAATTTCTGTGCCAGTGAGCTGTTGTTTTAGTCATTTACATCTCTGCCCAGCAACTGAGGAATTTCAGTTCTTTAATTAACATACTGAGAGTAGGAATAGCTTACAGCTGTAAGAAAATATGACTTCAGCATGAAAGCTAAGGGGTTTTTGTTGTTGTTGCCAATACTGGAGCTTGAACTCAGGGCATGAGTGCTGCCCCATTTTACTTAAGGCTGGTGTTCTATCCCTTGAGCCACAGCTCCACTTTCAGCTTTTTTTTGCTGCTTAATTGAAGATAGGAGTCTCACAAACTTTCCTGCACGTGCTAGCTAAGAACTTGATCCTCAGATCTCAACCTCCTGAGTAGTTAGGATTACAGTCTTGAGCCACAGGCACTTCACTTAAGAACCTTTTGGTTTGCATCCTATCACAAAACGTTGCATTGTATGACTTTTTATAAAAGGGTATTACTTAAATTGAAAACATTGAAATCTTTCTCCTGAGTATTATTTAGTAGTTTATCCGCTTGGAGTTGATATTAGTAGAGGACATCCAGTTTTCTCAGCACTACTTGTTGAAAAGGTTATATTTTCTCCACATTTTTGGCACCTTTGTCAAAAATTTGCTGGCTTTAACTGTGTGAGCTTATTTCTGGGTCTTTGATTCTGTTCCATTGTTCTACATATTTGTCTTGTGCCACTACCATGCTGTTTTCATTATTATGGCTTTGTACTTTAGTTTGAGATGGAGTATTGTGATGCCTCCAGCATTCTTCTTTTTGCTCAGGATTACTTTGTGTAATCAAGGTCTTTTATCTTCAATATGAATTTTGAGATTATTTTTAACCTCTGTGAAAAATGTCATTAGAATTTTGATGGAAATTGCATTGGATATAGATTGCTTTTGATAATACTACTTTTCACAATATTGATGCTGCCAATCCATGAGCAAGGAAGGTCTTTTCATCTTCTGGTGCCCACTTAGATTTCTTTCTCCAGTAATTTATAGTTTTTCCTAGAGATTTCTGCTTCCTTAATTACCAACACCCTAGCCCAAAATGCTTAAAAGCCCAAATGGGCCGGCACTCGGGGCCGTTTCCTGGGATCCCAACTCCAGGTGTGGTCCTGGCGCGTCAGCACTTTTCACTCAATAAAATCTTTTACATTTTCACTGTGGACTGAGTGGTCTCACTGCCCCTCCCCACTACACTAGTACTGGATTAAAATAGGAGTTGGAAGACTAGGTATCCTTGTCTTGCTCCTGACTTTAGAGGAAATGGCCACACACTGGCATACAAACATACAGAAACATACATGCACACATAAAGGCTATAGTCAAATACAGTCTTTATAATGTTGGGGTACATTACTTTTATTCCTAGTTCCTTTGGAAAGTTTATTATAAAAGGTGGTTAGATTTTCTCAAAGGATCTATTTGCATCTATTGAGATACTCGTGTGATTTCTGTCCTTGATTCTTTTTGGTGCTAAAAGGAGTACGTATTTAGCAATGCACTTAACAATGTAAGTAGGTAATACATGTTTTTAAGTGAACAAAACCACCAAATTTACAGAGGGTCATATAGAACTTCTTAGTAATTGTTGGACAAGTTGGAATAAGAGAAATAAAATTCCAGGACTTAGTTCCAAAAATAAAATCAAGTAAATAAATAAATATTTATATTTATTAATATATTTATATATCTATTCATATTTATTAATATATTTATTAATTTATATATTTATATTTATTTATGTATTACCTACTTATTTATGTATTACCTACTATCTGGGAAATATCTTAAATAAAGGGTCCCAGTAGTCCTCCTGGTTTGTAGTTATTTTCAACAGTCAGATCACATCGAGACACAAACCAATGCAAGCATGTTCAATGTAGATGACTAGTATGAGAAAAAAATTTTCTTGTGTAAGATCTCAAAAAGAAACAGATGATCAGATTGGGAGTGTGCGGCATGCATAAGACCAGACTGATCAACTTTCTAGCCTTCAAAAGAGTCTATATTATTATTAATCATGAATATTATATATTCATAATTCTCTCCAGCAGAGAAAATTTTCTCCAGTGAAGAAAATTATTAATATTATAGAAATAGTCATTTTTCAATAACTGAAAAAATAAGATAGAGGGAACAGATTCAATAATTGCCAAGTAGTTCTGAACCAATAAATAGCTAATAAACAACGGTGAGCCTTATCAGAAAGAAATGCAAATTAAAACAGCAAAGGATTATTGTTTATCTGTCAGAGTGGCAAATAGTAAATTAAAAAAGCAAGCAAGAATCCTCCCTGTTTCTAAGGAGAGAGAAATATTTATTCCCTACTGTCCCTCATGGTGATATAGTGTTTCTGGACAATCTGGTGAACTATATTAATTCCCTGAAATGGGATGTCTTTTAATCAACTAGTTTCATCTTTTAGGAATTTATCTAAAGATGTAATAATATACATCTGTAAAGGTTTAGTGGCATGGATATTTTTGTTTACAATGTTTCTAATGGAGAAAATATTAGAAATAGGTATTCTAAAATAAGTGATATGTTTGTTACTTATGGAATATCATGAAATTAAATTAATTACATTAAAGATTAAAATGCTATTGTAGAACAAAAAAAAAATTCCTCATATAGGAGCTAGCACTTACCTTTTGATCGCAAGTTGAGGGTACAGTTAGCCACAGCCAAGAGAGGATTCAGATCTGAATCAAGGTGCCTGCTGACAATATGGCCCCCTAAAGACTATAAAATAAAGATATTTTCACTTCTGTTCAGTAATTGCAAAATACAAATATTAAATCAGGATTAAGCAAGTTTCTGGAGAGCTAATCCTTTTGTGTGTTCCAGAAGATAAAAAGTGATTCATCAGGGACAGTCACCCTCAGGATGCACGCGGAGTTTACCGCTGTCAAATGCATACCGCCATGTTTCTGATCTGTTGTCCAGCCAGGGTTCTCAGATGCTTCAGGAGAGCACGGTATGTCTGTGTCTTCTCTTCTGGGAGTTCCTGGACCACCTCAGCCAGGATGTCCTCTACCTGGGCCAGGCTGAGGCCAGCACCCAAGGTCAGTCCTGAAATAAATAATACAGCGTGATAGCTTCTTACCTGAAGATTTCCATTAGGCTACTGGACACTTGCTGTCCTGCTTACTGCTAGTGGTAATGGTGATGGGGTGGTGATCCTGTGATAGAGGTGAAGGTGGTGATAGGATGGTGTGGGGGGGTGGTATGGGGTGAGCATGGCTGGTGTTAGAAGTGGTGGAAGGTGTGGTGGAAGCACTGATGGCTAAGTTCTTTGAACGCTCACTAGAACACTCACTAGAAGGTATTGCTCTGAATGTTGTGGATATCCCCATGAATGTGAATAAAACTCTGAGTTATTAATAGACTCACTTCACAGGTGACAAAAAAGTAATCACACACACACACACACACACACACACACACGTCAAGGATCAAGCTGGATTCCAAAATCCACCTTATGATGATTGCTTCTTATCTTTTCCATTAGATCAATTTTTTTACAGACATGGAAAGCCAATCAGATAGCTACTTAATACATAAATTTTCTTTGCTTACTTGTGAGCTTCTGGAAAGGCAGGGATCACACCCATTCATCTTTCTGTCCTGTCTGACACTAGCTTCACTGAATAGTGGTTATATTTCTCTTAGAGTGAAGACAAAGCTTAACTTTAGAGAGCTTTTTCTAAAACCTTCCTCCAGAATGCCATGGCTCAGATAAAAGGAGAATCTCTGTGCATATTGTACCTGGGGATAATTCTTTTTGTCTTTGTCTGTAAATTGATGAACACAAGAACCTTAAGAACTCACCATTACATGCATGTTTTCTAACATTCAGTTCTTCAATTCTATCAGGAGAAATTATAACCGGGTGGAAGACACCTTTAAATTTCATTTCAGGACCTAAAATATTAGAGGGAAATCACCATGATAGGGATAAAAAGGAACTAATTGCCCTTTTAACTTAGAAATTATAATTTAACAGATAAATTTATCTGTATAAACATCTTTATTCTTTCTACTGGGCTATGTATTGCCAAACCATATATAGAAAGATTGGCAGGTGGATCTTCTCTAAGCTTGGAGGACTCTTTAGAAGTATCAGCCTTAAACCTTAGGTAATACAGCTTCCTTAGAATTCTCTTAGAGAACTTCCTAGATACTAGACCAGGAGTAGTCGGGTTTCTATCAAGACATCACTGAGAGATGAAATAAAGAGAAGTTTCAAAATGGGGCCCAGGTCAGTCCTCTCATCATGCCAGAACCGTGGTCACTGCCACCATGGTTCGTCATGAAGCAGGCATTTAGGACACAGGCTGGCTCCACTGAATACACAGGGACTTGTTCGTTTCCTGACAGAAAGTCTCTTGAGCAATGCTCAAGATTAAAGGATTACAGATGCAACCTCAGGCTGCATTTCCTAAGAACTGACCTATATGAAGCTATCTTCCCTCTTAAGTCTTTCCCCTCAGTTTCCTCACAAGAAGTCCCTGGGATCTACATACCTACAGAGGTGTTCCCCATGACCACAGGGGCCTGGGGATACTTAAATTTCACTTCCAGAAGTTCTTTCAGAGTCACTGGTGAAATCCACATCATCCTATCACCACTAAAAACCCTGGTCTTTTGTGGTTGTTTCTCAGCCATTATCTATTGAAAAAAAAACAACAGGGATTCAAGATACTTGTGACCAAACTGCCATCTGCTTCCATTCTATTTGTGTTGTAAAAGATATAGGAAATAGAGGTCTGAAAACTAAAACTAGTGATCTAAAAGTAGAGCTTAGCCAGGCATCAGATTTCAGGATACAAATATGCCAGTGTTTAATTCCTTCTAAAGGCTGTTCCATGTAGTGGTTGTATGCCATAAAGTGCATTTCAGTACTTAATGATTTGCTCTACAAATTATCCAATGGAAAAATGAACTTCTGTAAAAGAGGAAGTGGGGATCATGCCTATGTACATTGTATCTTCATGACTGTATACAGATACCACCATCTGCCCACTTCTCCCTTGGACCATACTCTTCAGAGCTTAGAATAAGAATGACAGATGAGTGTCACCTATTTATTGATCAGCTTTTAAAAGAATTCAAAATCAATCATCCCCCTCTCCTGCCTCCCAGATTTCACCGTCAGTTCTTTTCTAAGATGAGCTCAACTCTCCTTCCTTACCTTTAGCTCTGGAGGAAATATCAGCTCCTGGGTTGGATCCAATGGCAGAAACTCCACTTCTGAGAAGAGTACTGAGCTTGTCTTAAAAAAGAGAGAGAATACCAGAGATTACAGTAGTCTCCCTCACTCTTATTCTCAAGGAATATGTTTTAAAACCCCAAATGGATACCTGAACCTATAGCTAGTATTGAACTTATTATGTATGGCATGGTTTTTCCTATTTATTCTTATTATAAGTCTTAGCATGTATTTTTTCCTTTCCTTATTATGTTTAGAACTTTTACTTTTTCACTTAAAGGAAACACTCTGCAGCTACCTCTGGCAAATATGATTTTCCAAAGTCTTGTGTTTTGAGGACGTTAGCAAGAAAAATAAGACTTGAACTGGGTGCCAGTGGCTTACCCCTGTTATCCTAGCTACTCAAGAGGCTAAGATCTGAGGTTTGTGGATCAAAGCCAGACAGGAAGGAAAAAGTCCGTGAGACTCTTTTATCTCAAATAAACTGCCAAAAAAGCCAGAAGTGGAGCTGTGGCTCAAGTAGTAAAGTGCTAGCCATGAGCACAAAAGCTCAGAGACAGTGTCTAGGCCTTGAGTTCAAGCCCCAGGAGAGATACACACACAGAGTTGAACATAGCATTGCAATATCCTGCCAACTACTAAGTGACAAATAGGTGGGTATATGGTGTGAAAACACTGTGAAAAGGGCTAATTCATGCCTCAAAGTAGAGCTGAGGGGAGTAGAGTGAGATGAGATGTCGTCATACAACTCAGAATGGCATGAATGCATTTTGACACATAGGGATTATATCTAGAATTTTCCATTCGATTATTTACCATAGTGAAACCAAATAACTGAAGCTACAACAAAAGTGAAAGTCTATATAAGGATTGCCTACAGTGTCACTGTCAAGCAACTCTACTTTAAATCCTTTATAGAATGAGGCTGGGAGCAGACAGATCAGTAGGCCAAATTTAGCCAATCCGTCACCATCTCTGAGCTCCCAGTCAGGGTTCCAAGACAGTTTTCTAGCAACTCTGCAGATATCATTGGGGCTCTGATCCTCTCAACACCCCATATCTTCTTGTTGGCCCCTGGGACAGGAAAGGAAATGAGCCAGGTACCCACACATAGGTGATCATGAGCACTTCCTCTATTGCGACCTCATTACTTCCACTGCCTGTTCTTCTTCCTCACATAGCTATTTTGCTTCTTGCCCTTTAAAAAGTCTTCAAAGAGAACTTCTTCAAAAACTGAGTGACAGCAGGGATCAATGTGTTTTTCCCTCATCTAGATAATTATATTTGAGTCCAGAATGAGAGACCAAGTTGCCTCTCATTTTTTAAAGTATTTTTACATCTAGTTTTTAATTGGACATGATATCTCATGGTTGTTATTCTAGCTACTGAGGAGGCTTATGGTTTGAGGACTGCTTGAGAAAAGGTTTGAGAGATCCTACCTTGACCTGTAAAACTCTGGATGTGGGGATGTCTGCCTGTCATCACTGCTAAATGGAAAGCATAAATAGGAGTACTGAGGTCCAGGCTGGCCTAGACATAAACAAGAGGCCCTGTCTAGAAAACACCTAAAGCAAAAAGGGCTGGGGACATAGCTCAAGTAGTAGAGAGCTTGCCTAGCAAAGCAGAACACCATAAGTTCAAACCTCAGTACTCTATGTGTACGTGTATGTATGTATGTATGTATGTATGTGTGTATATAGTATATATTTCTTTTAAATGACACATAGTATTGAGATTGCAATGTGTATATAATATATAATTATATACAGGGTAACTGACCTGCTATCTCAGAAATTTATGATTTCTCACTTGTGTTAAGAACAGTAAAGATCCTCTTTACTAGAACAATTTGGAAATATTCTTTCTATCCAACTGCACCCTTGTATCTATTAACTAACTTCTGTACATCTCCCTGAGTCCTTCCTAGGTTGGCTATTTTCTATGTAGAGCTGGTGTGAGAATGGGGGAAGGAACGTCAGCAGAAGCTCAACTTGGCCAACTTGAGCAGCACTTACTCCTCCAAAGAGGAAGTTATCTGCTGCACATGTGCTGAGGAAACTTTATAACAACTTTACATTTCACTGACCTTGTTATCTTCCTCCAGTTCTGGCAATCCATTTACTCCTTGATCCAAACAGCAAACACCATTTTCTTTACTTTGACAGCAGCCAGAAGCCTAATGGTGGAAAATGAATCAGTAAGAAATTTAATGGTGATTCTCCCATAAAAGAAATGGAGTGGCAGCAATCTAAACATCATAACATAAAATCAATAGGGATATTTAACTCCCCTGGACCTACATTCCAACCAACACCTGATAACTCAAAAATGAGATCATACATCTAATATAGTGAAATTTAAACCTTAGCCTGCCAATGTTATATTACTCTAAAGTTGGGAAAGATCATCCAACATAATGCCTCTTTATAAGAAAATGTTAAATACATTTTAAAACAAACCAAAAAAGTATATAAAGAATAATTAAAATCAAGATTATTAGATGTCATGAAAGCGAATCACTTACATGTAAACATTCTAACCTACTCTAATGAAAACCTGAGTTTAGGATGGGGTTAGCATACCTGCAATCCCAGCTACTCAGGTTAGAAATTGGGAGTATTACAGTTTAAGACCAACTCAAAGAAAAATAGTAAGACTCCATCTCAATAAAACAAGCCCTGTAGCCCAGCACTGGTGGCTAATGCCTGTAATCATAGCTACTCAGGAGGCTGAGAGCTAAGGATTGGGGATGTGAAGTCAAGTCAGCCCAGGCAAGAAGGTCTTCACTAAACTACTCAGAAAAAGCTAGAAGTGGAGCTGTGGATCTAAGTACAGAGTGCTAACCTTGAATAAAAAAGCTCCGGGACAGTGCCCAGGCTGTGAGGGGCTTGAGTTGGAATGCCAGTTAGCTGGGAGGCATAGGTAGGAGAATCTTGGTCCAAGGCTAGCCCAAGAAAAAAGTACAAGATCCTATCTGAAAATTAACAGAATTGTTCCCCTATGTAAAAATGGTCATGGAGTATCTCACATGGAAGAGTACCCACCTAATAAGTGTGGAGCCTGGAGCTCAATCCAAAACAAAAAAATTTTAAATGAATTTATAAGAAAGTTTGAATAATAGTAATTATTAAATAAGTTAAACTATGTAAAGATTTTGTACCTAAGCCTGATGTATAATGATACATACTAACCATGATCAATCATTAATATTAATATTGACTATTCTAAATGCTAACAATAAATATTATAAAGTATTGCTATCATCACTCTGTTTTTATATGTGATATACTACTGTCATAATTTAACTTCCAAAAGGCAATCTTTATATATGTCAAGGTTGTTTGTTGCTCATCTATTCACTCATTCATTCATTCATTCAACAAATATTGATTTCAAAGCTCCTCAGTGAGTGCATCGTGATGGTCGTGCACATGGAGAGCTCTGTTGTCAGGCAGCACACAGTCTAGTGAACAAGTCTATGTTGAGGAATGCACATCCCATGTTCACAGAGAGCTACAGGAACACATGGACAGGGTACCTGGCCCTGATAAACAAATCAGGAGAAACCTCCTAGAAGCAATAACCTGAAGGCAATGTCAAAATGTTTAGGTGCTTAAGATGTGACTCCCTAAACAAGCTCAATGAATGAGGAGGAATCGTTCATCCAAGGTGAAAAATGAGTAGCAGTGGCGGATTTAAATCCTTATTATTAGTAAGGATGATTGTTACCCTAGCACATCTAATTAGCCCTAACCATTTTTCATTGGGAAAAATATACCTGTGTGCCTTTCTACTTACTTTACAGAAAGTCTTGCCTGCTTCAATTATGGGTCTGTATCCAGTACAACGGCACAGGTTACCTGAAGGAGAAAAGCCCAGCTCTGTTCACTGAGTGACCTAGATAGAGGTACAGGCTGCCAAGTACATGATGGAAGGAAGGACCCCAGCCCACAAGGAAGGTCTGCCTAATTTTTTGGTCCATTTCATCTAGAAAATCCTATTTGAAATAGATTTTCACAGCTCAGCCATTTGTACTGGCTTCTACTAAGCAATTTTTATACCTTTCTCATAATAGGTGCTCAAATGACAATGATTTTTTTAAAAACTTGCTCTGTTGTCACACTGCAGAACTAAGTTTAATTTCAAGAAGCTATTTTACTGACACAATTGCCCATATACAAAATGCTATGTATATGAAGTGTATACCATATGATATGTTTGGAGATAAGAATATGCCTGTGGGTAACATTGTCCAAAAACAGAAATGTACTTATTACCTGACTTATGAAATAGTTATTCCCCTGTACAATATCTTAATGACAGCAGTACAATTTTTAACAAAAGAATGCATCTGAGAATCCAGCCTCACAGTTGATGTTTGTGTATATATCCATCACTTCAATTTTGTCATGCCATTTCTATCTATCTATCTATCTATCTATCTATCTATCTATCTATCTATCTATCTATCTATCTATCTATCTATCTATCTATCTATCTATCTACCTATCTATCGGCAGTACTGGCTTTTGAACTAAGGACCTTGAAATTTCCTGCCTGGCTTGCTTGTTAGGCTGGCACTCTATCACTTGAGTTATACCTCTAGCAAGCAATTATTTATTAATTTACCCATTTATTTAGTGACAAAGACACTTAGTAGAAGATCTACTCTCTTAGCAAATATTTCAGTATACAATACAGTATTGACAACTACTGGCACTTATAATTATGGGAATATTAAAAATTAAATGATTTAGGAAATACACCAAAATATACATTAAAAAAGAAATGTGTCAGTGAAATGTAATGTATGGATCTAGTTTAGAGCTTGATTTCAATAAGCTAACATATAGTTTGCATAACTTTGAACAAATCACTTGTTTCTAAACCTCAGTTTCCCATTTAGGAAATGGTGATGATAATAATATCTATCTTACAAATTATTGTTAAGGTAATCTTCAAATAGCTTTTAATCCAGTACATGGCATATGGTAGGTGTACAAGTTATGTAGCATTATCATTTAAAAATAGAACCATAGAGCCAGGTGCCAGTGGTTTACACCTATAATCCTAGCTTCTCAGAGATCTTAGAATTGTGGTTTGAAGCCAGCCTAGGCAGGAAATTCTGTGAGACCCTTATTTACAATTGACTACCAAAAAGCTAGAACTATCAAAAAGCTGTGGCTCAAGTGGTAGAGCATCAACCTTGAGGGAAAACATTCAAGGATAGCTTCCAAGCCCTGAGTTCAAGCCCCAGAACCAAAAAACGAGGGCAGGGGAAGAGCCATGTATAACTTACCACCAAGGGCATCAGTTAACTGATCCAGAGTAGGCTCGGGGTGGTTCCTGAGCAGCGTGTACATGGACATCACCATCCCAGGGGTGCAGAAGCCACACTGGGTGCCATGACACTTGGCGATCCTCTCCTGGAAGCACAGGAAGGTTAGAAATGCTGACCTACGGCATGAGATGGTTCTCAGGAGAGTCCTCCGCTGGGGAAGACTCCCCTGAAAGCTCATTTCAAGACTTCTCTAACTAGGCTGGGTTGACTGATTGCTGAGTTTGCTTCTCCTTCAACCATGCCATGAGCTTCACTTTGGACAGTGGTTCTGAGCCTTTGGAATCATCAAGGGGAGCTTAAAAGTGCTGGGACCCCAGGGGAACCCAGATCACTTGGTGTAGAGTCTCTGGGGAGATTGTTGAGTCACAGACACGTATCTGTGAAAGACTACTGAGAGTCTCAATGTACAGCTGAGGTTGAGAATCACTGACATAAAGGAAGTCCTTCAGAAAAATGAACCAACTACACTCAAGTTAAGACACAATTTGAATCTCTTTGTTGCTTTGTATGTCCCTCCCCCACAGTATAACCCCTGCTTTCACTATATTTGATGTCAGTATAACTTGTGGAGGAGATGGGGGAAAACAAGTCGTTTAAGGATACAGGTCAGGTGGACCTGTTGCAACAATGAGAAGTACAAGTTGTCATGTTGAAAACAAGCTTTACAATGTTGGTGCAGGGGGGGGGGGGGGAAGTGGGGGAGGATTGGGGGGGGAGGGTGGGAAGGGATGTGAAGGGTAAACAAAGGAGGTGGCTGCAATGCTTGATAAGAAATGTACGCATTATCCTGCCCATGTAATTGTAACCCCTCTGTACAGTATGTTCATAAAAAAAATAAATTAAAATAAATTAAAAAAAAACAATTTGAAAAATAACTTGCTAGTTTTTCACGATTGCCTTTTATCTGCCTATTAGTATACCAATGTTCTAGTGTGCAGTTTATAAAGCACCCATCTTAATCCAGAAAAAAATAATCAAGGAAATACTATATTGCTTCCATACTGCCCTTCCCTCACCCCCTAAAACGTAATCTTTGGAGTCTAACTTCTTGGGGACAAGTACACTTTAGAATCTGTCTTCTGACAACATTGAATCCCTGGCAGAAAATGAAAGAGTGTTCCATGCCTGTGTGCACTTGAGTACTGAGGTATTCCTCACGAGCTGCTGAGATTTTACATCTAGAGAATGTGAGGTTTTGCCATTTTCTATGTTGCTTCTGCTTTTCTCCTATCTAAATGACCTCATAAATGACCTTCATTGACTTAGAACAAAGCTGATAGCAATGGCATCTGGGGAATGTATGAATAATCCAAAGTAGGAGTCTGAAGGAGCCTTCTCACTGAAGGCTCTCAAAGGAGTTGTTGTAGGGGAAAGCCACAGACTCCACTGCAGTGCCCATCCCGTGTCTTATGCACAAACCCTGAGCTGGACAAAGCTTTTGATGATGGGGATTTTCACTGAGCTATAAAATCCTGTTATTTTCTACTTTCTAAATGAAAAGGGAAGGAAGGAAGGAAGGAAGGAAGGAAGGAGAGAGAAAAGATAGGGAGGAGGTGAAGGGAGAGAAGAAGGGAGTGAAGGAGAGCAAGAGAGAAAGAAAGAGACAGGGAGGGAGGGAGGGAAGGAAGGAGGGAGGGAGATGGAGAGAGAGGGGGAAAGAGAGAGGGAGGGAGGGAGGGAAGGAAGGAGGTAGAGAGAGAGGGGGGAGAGATGGACAGAGAGAGGGAAGGAGAGAGAGTAGTGTTCCAAAATGTACTTGAGTTCCATTTTTTCTTGATTTGGGGAGGTACAAAGTAGACAGGTCCCACATAATCCAAAAATAGAGGAACAAAACCAGGCCATGTCAGTGTTTTCTTTAAAAAGGGAAACTCTTCTAGTCTCCCAAAAACATCTTTCCAAGAAGTTAGTCATGGAACACTCAGATATCTCAATACCAACATGTCAGGTTTCATTCTTGGCTCCAGCTGGGTTTTACCTGTTAGCAGCAACCAAGCAGCAGGCCCCAACTGCTCTACCTCTACAATCCCAGGAGCTCACATTGTCATCAGCGGTTTTTGAATCATAGAAGACTTACAAGGGCAGAGGTACAGCCTCACCTGAATAGGATGGATTCTGGTCTTGGAGCTTCCTACGCCTTCGACTGTGGTAACAGCAGTGCCATATAGAGAACAGATGGGGGTCAGACAGGCATTGGCGGGATAATGCCTTCAGAATGCAACAGAGAAGCACTCATTACAAATTACCTCGTGTCCAGAGGGAAAGAGGAAGTACTCAGAGTCTCTTACAGGCAGGTTCTGTATGAGATCTCTAGGCTATGCCTCTGCATTTTGTTCTTAATGCAGACTCATATTACTTTTTATTTATTTAATTTTTATTGTAAAGGTGAGGCACCAAGGGGTTGAAGTTCACATAAGTCAGGTAATGAGGACATTTCCTTTGGAACAGTGTTACCTCTTCTCTTCTTTTCTCATAGGTTTTTTTCCCTCCCAACCTCCCTTCCTCCACAAGTAAAATTATACGTGGACATGATAAATTAAACAAGACTCTAAACCTGCACACAGTGAGACCAAAGGGGGAAATTCTTAGGAGAGGATCACAAAGGCTCAATAGCCATGTGCATATGATCATGTAAAATGATGTTTATCAAAAGGAACTCGAAGAAATGAAATGAGGGTTCTTTTTTTTAAAAAATTACTTTTTGTGGATTTTGTTCCCCTTTTGTTGCTGTTTTTTACTTCTGTACTTTTTGTTTTGTATGTAAGTTTATCTGTTTGGGAAAGAAATGGTGGGTGAAAGGGTGAACTAATTTAGCTGATACTCAGTAGACCCTATGTTGAAAATGAACATACTCATTTTACAGAAGTAGACACTGAGGATCAGAGTAATTTACTCATCAACTCAGCTGGAGGATCAAATGGCAGGATTAAAATTAGATATCTTAATTACAGTTCCAGACTAATCTCAAACAACTTACTTGATTTTTCTTTGGATAAGGGCTGACAATGTCTAATTGTTTGCAACTAACTCCCCCACTTAAATGCCATTCCATCTTCTGGGAAGATGCTAGGCTTCGTCTGACCAGGAAGCTGAATTTGCTTTTGTTTGTTTGTTTTTTTGGAAAAAGAAGTAAGTAGGGTATGGCATGTAGAACTTGATTCTCTGCCCCCCCCCCCACCTCCACACACACACAAAGGGGAAAAAACACTGCTAGAAAATATCCAGTTCAAAACGACTCTTAAAAATAAAAACCTGGGGTTGGGAAGGTGGCTTATTGGTAGAGCACTAACCTTGTGCTGAAGAGCTGAGGGACAGTACCCAGGCCCAGAGTTCAGGCCCCACTACCGGACCCAATAAATAAATAAATACCTCTCATTTACCAAATAACTGGACTTAGCTACCAGTTACCTTATCTTCTTGGTTCTAGAGTTGTATTGGGAGATCATCACCGTGCAAGCGCCACACCCACCCCCTCCACAGCCATACTTTGTTCCTGTGAGTCGCACTGAAGAGTCATGGTTAAAGATAAAACATTGTCCATGATTTTCTTTCTAGGATAGCCAGCCCTGACCATAGGAGGCATCATTATTATAGATTGTTAAGTATGTAATTATTTAGTATGTATTTAACAAATGATGTAGGTATGTCTTAGCTGCTATCTGTATTTTGTAAATTCTTGATTTCTTTTTGTGTGTTATAGTATCCCACCCCTCCACCCTGGAGGAAACTAGATCTCAAGTTGCCCCCTCATTCTGTCTCTTCTGTCTCTCTGTCTCTGTCTGTGTGTCTCTCATCAGACTCTAAGAGCTCCCCAAGCCTCTCTAACTCTTCCCTGGTTCCTTTCACAGAGACATATCTCCTAATAAAACTCTTTCACGTCTCTCTCCATTGAGGAAGGGTATGCTTCCTGAAGAATCAGAACAAGATGAGAAATCTTCCATTTTGTAAACTAAGCTTTAAATATTATACATCTGACTGAGTCAGATATCAGTGCCCACTGTTTTCATGTTCAAAAATCTTAGGAGATTCTCAGGAGCATACTTCTGTGTCTAAAAAGTAGCTTTAAACACCTCAGGGTGATGTTCTCTTCCCCCTCCCTCCCTCCAGCTGTCACTTAATTTTGCAGATCATTTTGTGGGGTGTACTGGTCTCCAGAAGACCAGCATGGTAAGGAAGTTTTCCTACAGTGACATTTTTCAGGTTCAAGTTCTCTATAATACACATAAATTGACGTGTTAAATGAAGACTGTTTGTGTAACTACTTGAAGAAAAATATGTCAAATACTTAAAAAAACAAATTTCTTCATGTTTTACTTTCATTTAGGAGATTTCTGTGCTTTCTTTTTTGCCTGGGCTTGAGGATGAGTCATTGAAAAAGTGTGTAAATATTATGACTAATAATTCTAAAGGATGTTTCACCAGTCCCTTTAAACACCCACTGCCTCAATTCCCAAATGCTCGTTTCTCTGATTTGAACCATTGATTTAGTGTTAAAACAGAGAACCGAAAAATCTCGGTTCTTCTGACAGCCACAGCTGTGAAACTAAGATATAGGATTTTCTCAAAGAGGAGACATGGATGAATATAAAGTTGTTTAAAGATGAAACAAAGAGACTCAATATGGCTATAAAAAGGTATTTCAAATATTATATAATAAAGTCATTGAAGCTAAAGACACACATATTCTCTCACTCACACACACAAAGACACACAGACACACACACACACAAGGATACACTTCTTCCTCAGATATGGTAACAGCATTGTTTCAGGATCCACATTTTTTTCTATCACCTATACAAGAGAAAAAAAAGTAGTTATGCTCAAAAAAATCAAGAAAGCTGGTATGATGCTCACATGGGAAAGATTGTGCTAATTTAAGGAAAACGCATATTTTTAGGGAATTAGCTAACACTTCTACTCATATTTTCACATTGATTTCATATTTAGGAACATCTGCGATGCACATATCAACCCTGAAGTGTGGAGTCTCATTCTTCAGCTCAGTTCTCCTGCTCTGTTCCTGACGCCACTGTCCTTGGTCCTGAATCATCACTACTCTGAGGTAGTACTTGTGTTTCCATTAAAGACTATGAATGATGGAGGCATAGAATTCCATTGTGTATATATACCACATTTGTTAGGAAATGGAAAGGCTTGGAAAAAATTATATTAAATGAAGTAAGCCAGGCCCAAAGAAACATAGGTCTCATGGTTTCCCTTATTTGCAATATCTAGTATATGTCTGAGTCAAGCAGAAAAGATCAGATAAGTTGATGTTAGGGAAATGAACCCTAAGATATGTATTCAAATGTTTTTTTTTCTTTCATGGGATTGTTTCTAACACATTTATAAGATTATTTCTTTGTTGCTTTGTATGTCCCTCCCCCACAGTATAACACCTGCTTTCACTGTATTTGATGTTGGTATAATTTGTGGAGGGGAAGGGGGAAAACAAATCGTTTAAATAGGGATACAGGTAGACCCACTGCAACAATGAGAAGTACAAGTCATTATGTTGAAAACGAACTTTACAACTTTGGTGCGGGGGGTGGGGGGCGGGTAGGATTGGGTGGGGGGTGAGGGGAGGATGGGAAGAGATGGGAAGGGGAAACAAAGGAGGAGGCTACAATGCTTGATAAGAAATGTTCAATAAAAAATAAATAAAAATTTAAAAAAAGAAATGTACTCATTATCTTGCCCATGTAATTGTAACCACTCTGGACAGTATTTTCACAATTAAAAAAAAAGACTATGAATGAGCCCTGTTCAGCTTCTCATAGAACACCTGATGTAGATGAGGGAAAAGACAGGAGAAGAACAGAATATGAGGGTGGGGTGGAGTAGAGTAGATGAAGAAAAACAGAAAGAGACAGAGGAGCTTCTGGAATAGAATAACTTCCTGAGAACCATGAGATTACCAAATAGATATCTGAAAAGGAGAAAGACATTCCAACCATGAGCCAGGCACCCATGAGCAAGTGGGAGGAAAGAATGAGCAGATCCATCGCCGCAAGTGGTTGCACCCATGGTTGGGATGATGGGAACATCGACTGCTCTTGTTCCCAAATGGAGGCGTTCTCTTTCCTGATGAGCAATTCGAGGTTTCTTTTATGTTCATAACACATGATTAGCTTCACAAATTCCTAAGTCAGATAATGAAAGGTCATTTCACTAAGGAAAGGTCATTTTCCCTTGCCAGTTACTCTGGTCAGATCAGAACCCTTCATCAATGGGCAATACAGGAAGAGATGTGAGTATATGTGTGTTGGTATGTGCATAGGTGCATGTACACATTCTGTAATATAAGAAAGCATGTGGGACATATTTTAGGCATCCTCAGCTTAACCAGTCCCAAATGGAAGTCTTTATTTCCTTCTTCTCCCCACCGTTTCACAGCCTCACTCTCTGCTAGATCATCTACCCTTTAAAACCTGAGCTACATTCAACTCTTCTTTGAACCTAATACAATCATGTAACTACATCCTGCCATGTCCCTTGAAGAACCTGTACTTCTACTGTCACTATTAGAATAAGCCCTTCACTTCATGCCTGAATAATTATAACCTCTGTCCCACAGGCCTGCCTACTTGCACTCTTGACACCCACAACGTCACCCACTACACCAAATCCAAGTCTATCTCACACGTCTGCTCATGGCCAAATCACCTTGCTGGGAACTCAGGGATTATTAATATAAACCCTCTCTGGAATAATGGAGCCAGACACTCTGCATCTTTAATGAGCAAGCTGCCTGGGTCTCTGGCGAACACATACTCCAGAAATCCTGAAGAACAAGAAGAAATTCAAACTCCTTGGCAATGTGTACTGGGTAAATTGCCTTTTTCACTCCCTGATTATTGACTGGGAGGTTTGCCTTAGAGAAATGGCTGCTCCCAGCGGTGTGTGGTCTTTGGCTTTTCATTATATTTGCATGCAAGGTATTTCTCTGTGCAAAGGACCTCTCTCTACCTACAAAAAAAAAGCTTCATGCCATTCATTATTATGCTCAAATGTTTTCTGTGGAGATCACTACCACTCAGTGTACCCTTCCTTCCCTGATCCCTATATAGGAGGAAAATAAAGAAAATCAGAGAAGTTATTTGCTCATGTAACTGTAACTCCTTTGTACAGTATTTTCACAATAAAAAAACATTAAAAAAGAATCTATTCACTGTTTATCCCAGCCTATCTATTCTCTTTCTTCTGCCTGGAGTAGGGATGAACTGGCTAACTCCAGTAGCCATCTTAAACTATGAGGCCACATAGTAATTGCAACACAGGTAAAAGAAAGAAGGAACTTGGATCTTAGATAATAAGAGGAAACTTGTGGTGTTTTCTCAACTTTTCTGTTTTTAGGTGTACTTTCTACAAAAGGAAATTTTACTTAGGCCTTGAACAACTGTTAGTTTTAAGCCTATACTGTTGCAACTGAAGCTAAAGCTAATTAATAATATGGTGAGCACACTGAACCCCAGTTAATGGAAAGACAGAATCTGAGTAGCCTAGCTAGTACAAATGAACATATTAGGCTTAAAGGATACTTATGTATTTTTTAGAAGAAATTGGCAGAAGAAGAAAGTCATTCTCTTTTAGATATTTGTTTCAGAAGATGTTGCCAGAGATTAGCATCTGGCTCAAAGGGATACTGCCATAAAATTCATTTCTTTTTCTTGATTTGGTAGCTGTCATATTTGGGGGAGGAGAGTGGGAACAGAATTTAAGCAAGATTCTTATTCTGCAAGCTCTTCTTCAACCAGGAAGTTGAGACTAAGATGAGGGCTGGGGATTAGAGAGAGGTGGTGAGGTAATGGGGAATAGATTAATTCTCACTGGCTCTGAACTAGAACAAGGATGTAAGAAGAACTTGGCTGCCCTGGGCAAAGGCCAAGTCATGTGGGTTGTAGGCACACATCCCAGAACAAATCACAGGGTCACAAGAGTTGAATCTGCCCTTTTGAGAGTTCAAGTTCCCATTGCCAAAGTCCCTAGTGGATCAAAGTCAGGGTCAGAACAGAGAAAGAAAGAAAGAGAGAAAGAAAGAAAGAAAAAAGGAAGGAAGGAAGGAAGGGAGAAAGAGAGAAAGAAAGAAGAAAGGAAGGAAGGAAGGAAGGAAGGAAGGAAGGAAGGAAGGAAGGAAGGAAGGAAGGAAGGAAGGAAGGAAGGAAGGAAGGAAGGAAAGAAGGGAGAGAGAGAAGGGGGTCAGGCTGAGAGGGAGAAGGTGGGAAGAAAGAGGTAAGTGTTGTTGGGCACAGTCAGCAGACACCCCACAGTGTCTTAGAGGCTGGAGGGGATGACTTCTGCACTTCCACCTGACCTGCAGGCTGCTTCCAAATTAATCTGTTGGCTCTTCCAGCTTCTTGCCATGTTCACCTCCTCTTCTTTTCTCTGAACTAGTGAGGCCATCCTAACAGCCCAGAAATCTCCTCTTTCTGAAGAAGGGAAGGAAGCACTAATCTCCATCCTTCAAAGATAGCTCTTTCCAGATTCTTCCACTAATACCAAACGAGTCATGAGTACAATGCTCAGTAATTGCTCCTTGGTCTTCTGATGCTTGAGCAGATTCTGGCTACTAATGCAGCAGGTTGTTTTCCTGTCCAGCTGTTAGCAATGACCTCTTCCTTCCCAACCCCTCTGTATGGAGCTTAAATTTCACCCCTCACGTCCAGGGTAAAGATAGCTATTGTTTCCATTTTGTAGAGGGGAAGACCAAGGCTCAGTGTTAGAAAGCGGTTTTTGCTTGAGCTGAGGCCCCCTCAGTCACCGGGCTGCAGGAGCAGGGGGTAGTCCAGGATTCATGCCTTTGGACTCCAGGAGCCAATGTCTCCTGGAATGATATTCTTCGATGTCCAAGCATGGTATGGTATGCACTATTCTGGGGGTTTTCCTCCTCAACTCCATGTTAAATGGGAACCCTGTACTTCTGAGGGGCCTCATAGAGCAAGTTTAGAAATTTCTCTATAACTTGATCTCTGGCAACCATGACAGAGCTTGCTTGCCAATAACTTTAGCTTCAGCTTGATAACACCTTTTGAAGACCTGAGATTTTCACAAAAAGCACATACCAGAGACCATCCTGATTGCCTTCAAAGATTCCTTTAAAAACAAGTTGGTAATCCCAGAGGTCATATCTGACTTTAATACACCTCTTGTCTCTGTGTCTTATCTCCTACTTTCCTAGACTTTTACCCTCAAACCAGAAGGTGTATCTTAGTTTTATTCACATACCAAGCAGTAAAGTATAGGAAGGCTAAGATAATTTTTAATGGGGTAATTGTAAAAGGAGAGTTTATCTCTAAAGTACACAAATGGTTACAAGATATAAAATGGGCCTAAAGATAAGAACCAGCTTATCTACTCTATTAAAAAATCAATAGTATACAAACTGATGTTAATCATTGTGTTAAAAAAAACAACAACTGGGTGCCAGTGGCTAACCTGTAATCCTAGCTACTCAGGAGGATCTTGGTTTGAAGCTAGTCCTGACAGGAAAGTCAGTGAGACTCCTATCTCCAATTAACCACTAGGAAAACGAAGTTGAGCTGTGGTTCAAAGTGGTAGAGCACTAGCCTTGAGTGAAAAAACTCAGGGACAATGCCTAGGCCCTGAGTTCAAACCCCATGACTGACAAAAACAAATTACTATACAGTCTGTATAGGAAGCAGGGGAGAGAAAAAGGGAGAAAAGGTGTTATACGCAAAACACCTGTTACCTCATTGAACTAAAAATCCTTACCATAACTTATAAAAGTCTACTAATCTGCCTTTGTTCAATTCTACTGATCTATTCCTTACACACATAAAACACCTTTTGCCCCAGGATTTTTGCACCTGGAACTTCTCTTCTCAAAATGCTCCTTCCCTGAATGTTTGCTTGGCTCACTTCTACTTCACCCCAGACACTGCTCACAGGTCAGCCTAAGAGGCTCAAATGTCCATCTCCCCTAAAGCAGCAGTCATTGTCTATCTTCTATCCTTCTTCCTTTGGCTTTGTTTCTATACCAGCACACATCACTGCCTGACACCATGCATTTGCATTTGTGTATGCTTATTGGCTGTCTTCCCAGCACAGCAGGCACTCTGTAATTTCTGCATTCGATAAAATCTAACTACAGCCTGGCATATAGCTGGTAACAAATGAACTGAGTGTCAGGAACATTCTCAAGGAGTAAGTAGTGTTGTCCCCTTATAGTAAAGGAATTGTGTCTCTATTTGCAATGAAGAGTTGGAATTTCATCCTTGCTGGTTTAGGCAACCACAAAACCACTTTGCTTGTGGTCTCATTCTGTGATACAAAAAAAAAGAAGACATGATGGGGATACCAATCACTTCACCCTCCAAGGATCCTGGGATCCCATGCAGCAGAGGCACAGGAAGTTTTCATGGAGGCTTGGACAGTTTGAGGGGTCCTCTCTCAGGAAGCGGATGATGAACGCACAAGGCCAAATTAAGCTTTAGAACAGGGCTCAGGAATGAGGGGCTGGGTGCGAAACCTCAGCCAGAGCTGGCGTCCTCTGGACCAGGGCTGAGGCCCTTCTTAGCCAGAAGCAGAAGGCTCTAAATGGGCCAGCACTGGGCACTGCGGAAGGGAGGTCTCTCGACTTTTAACCTTCATGCCTCAGCTTCCCTTTCCAAAGCGGTGCCAGTGTGTGCTGAGAACATTCAGAGCAGATGCCGGGGGCGGTGCCTGCATCCGGGAGTGTTTTAAAGGATGTCCAGGGAAGTTTGTTGCCCCCAAGCTCTGGACCTTTTCTGGAGCAGTCAGGAGATGTATGAGACAGAGGACAGAAGCCACGTGCGGCGGGGGCCCCTACCCCAGCCCCGGAGCCCGGCTTGAGCAAGCGCTACCAGGGTCTCTCTGAGCCCCATGGTCCTGTCACCCCTGGAACCTGCTTTCCGCTCGCTCATCCAGACAGGCCACAGAGGCCCAGCCACCCCCTGGCGGGCAATCGAGGCCGGAGCTCCCGAGCGTGGCCCCGCGGGAAGGGGGCTCACCTTGCGGCCGTTCACGAAGAAGAGCAGCTCGGAGGCCCGGTCCATGGCGGCGGCGGGAGGCCGGAGCACCTGCGGGCTGCGAGGCTGCGGGAGTTTCCAGTCCTCCCACACCCACACCCCTGATGGCTCCGGGGAACTTTCGCCCTCTCAGACAGCTGCGCCCTGGTCACCGGCGCTCTGGGTGGGCTGAGCAACTTTGGCGAATGAGTAGCTGGCCGATGCCCGTCCCCCGGCCCTCCCCGGCCCTCCCGGCCCCTCCCCGGCCCTCCCCGGCCCTCCCGGCCCTCCCCGGCCCTCCCCCCCCCCCGTCCCTCCCGCCCCTCTCCGGCCCTCCCCCGCCCCTCCCGGCCCTCCCCGGCCCTCCCCGGCCCTCCCCGGCCCTCCCGGCCCCTCCCCGGCCCTCCTCGGCCCTCCCCGGCCCTCCCCCCGTCCCTCCCGCCCCTCTCCGGCCCTCCCCGGCTCTCCCCGCCCCTCCCCGGCCCTCCCCGGCCCTCCCCGCCCCTCCCCGGCCCTCCCCGGTCCTCCCCAGCCCCTCCTACCCCTCCCGGCCCCTCCCGCCCCTCCCCGGCCCTCCCCGCCCCTCCCGCCCCTCCCCGGCCCTCCCCGGCCCTCCCCGGCCCTCCCCAGCCCCTCCTGCCCCTCCCGGCCCCTCCCCGGCCCTCCCCCGCCCTCCCCGGCCCTCCCCGCCCCTCCCCGCCCCTCCCCGCCCCTCCCCGGCCGTCCCCGGCCCTCCCCGGCCCTCCCCGCCCCTCTCGCCCCTCCCCGGCCCTCCCCGGCCCTCCCCGGTCCTCCCCAGCCCCTCCCGCCCCTCCCCAGCCCCTCCCGCCCCTCCCGGCCCCTCCCGCCCCTCCCGGCCCTCCCCGCCCTTCCCCGGCCCTCCCCGGCCCTCCCCAGCCCCTCCCGCCCCTCCCGGCCCTCCCCGGCCCTCCCCGCCCCTGTCCCCCCGGGCCACTAGGAGTCCGCGCCACACCCTTGCTGGCCTCGTAGCCTCCGACGCCGTAGGCATGGCCACCTCGCGTTATCCGTCTCCTGTTGGTGCATTCTTCAAAGCGGCTTTTCGGCTCGTTCTGAAGTCCTCGCCGGCCATCAGACCTGCCACAAAAGTTCCATTTTTGGTGCCAGCCGGGACACGGGGGTCGCAGGCCGGCCAAGCGTGGACTCTGCCACTGAGCGACACCAGTGGCGTGCTGGGCACAGCAAGACACTTGCTTCTACTCCGTGTCTGCGGGAAGGGAGCTGACGGACAGCGGCACACGCACTGCTTTCCGCTTTAGAAAAAACAAGCCAAGTTCATTTTTAAAGTCAAGAGCTACCCTGAATGGGATGTTCACACCATTGACAATGTTTATCGGGTGTACATCAAGAGACCTAAAACACCCACCGTGAAAAACTTAAAAAAAAATAAAGCTTGGAAAATACTTACATATAAAGATTGGAATCACCCAGAAGACCACCTTTTAACTCTTGTGTATGTGGTATGTGGTGTGTATGTGTGTGTGTGTGTATGAGTGTGTGTGTGTGTGTGTGCTCGTGTGCCAGTCCTGGGGCTTGAACTCAAGGCCTGGGTGCTGTCCCTTAAGCTTTTATACTCCAGGCTGGTGCACTACCATTTGATCTGTAACTCCACTTCTGGCTATTTTTTTGGTGGTTAATTGGAGATAAGTCTCACAGACTTTCCTGCTGGGGCTGGCTTTACACCGCAATCCTCAGATCTCAGCTGCCTGAATCCCTAGGATTGCAGGTGTAATCTTATTTTCCAAACTTCTTTTCATGTAACGTACCTAGAACATTTTCTGATATTATCTGATTTATGTAAACTTTTTTGTGAAAACACCCAAAATTTGTAAGAGGACAACTAATATGTCTTAGGAAGCAGTGAGTGCTTCCTTCTGAAGTGTGCTAAAGCCTGAGATAGACAGACACTTCGAATTCAAACACATTATCATTTTCAACTGTCAAAAATAAGGTATTTTTAATTTTGATGTTTTTTTGAAACAAAGGCTACTTTATATTGTGCTCCTTTTTCAGTTTAGAAGTGTCCTCATGCTCTCCTTTTTCCATGATTTTAAAAATAATTTTCATGGGTTGTCTTACGATTGTACATATTAATGGGAGTCCAGTGTGGTTTTGATTAATGTTTATGTTGTATAATTAGATTAATTAGTGCATATCACTCTTATCAATTTTTTAATGGCACTAGGGAGTTTGAATTTAGGCCCTTGTGTGCCTCCAGCTTGTTTTTCCTTGGTATTGTTAAGATAGAGTTTTACTTTCTACCAGGCATGCCTGAGCTGTGATCTGCCTAGTTTCAGACTTCCTATCTTCACTGGATGACAGACACACTCCCTCAATTCTAGCCCCCCTTCCATGGAGAGATTTGTTAAGATTTTTCTATCCAGGCTGGCCGGGCACCACAATGTAGTCACCACTCTCAATGATTTATACCTTTTTATAATTTTATCACTTTCAGGTACAATAAGTATCCCACACTCACTTGGTTTATATCCTGTCCCAGATTTATTAAATATATATTTTTTCATTGCTACAATAGGCCAACCTGTATCCTTATTTCAGCATTTTGTTATTGCCCTTCCCCTTTGTGAATCAGTAATTTCTCCAAAGAGCCCTGGTACCTATGAATGGGTAATAATATTTAGGAACCATAATCTGAATAGTAGAGGTTATCATAGCCAATAAGTTGTCATTATTTCTGAGCATATTCAGTGAACATAGCTAGGAAATATAAAATTTTGTAAAGGAAGGGATGAAAAATCCTAAGTTCATATCAATGTCTCTAATTAAAATTCAAGATTGTGAACGTTTAAAAAAAAGTCTTGGATTTTGCCATGATTTGTCCCCATCAAAACTTACGTTGAAGCAACAGTACTGGGAGGTGCAGTCCAATGGCAAGTATTTGGTTAAGGAGAGAAACTCTCACGAGTGGTTTATTGCCTTTCTTCTATGAGCTCTCAGTCTCTTTGGATTAGTTACCATAAAGCTGCCTCTCCTGTTACCTCTTCTTATATGCCAGCTTCCCTTCCACTTCTTGTGGTGGATTCAAACAGCACAAGGCCCTGGCTTCCCAGGTTATGGGCCAAATAAACCTTTAATAAACTACCCTATCTCTGATATGCTATATGCAAAAGACAAAACGTTTTATATTTGTTATCATTTTCTTATGCCAACAATCTTGGTTCTAGAACCTTAACATTAATTGTTTTATCCTATTCACAGAACAATTTTAAAACAAACTCATCAGCCAGGTAGCTCATGCCTGTAATCCTAGCTACTCATGAGGCTGAGATCTGAGGGTCACAGTTCAATGCCAGCCCAGGCAAGAAAGTTCCTGTGAGACTATTATCTCCAATTAATCACCAGAAAACCAGAAATGGAGCTATGGCTCAAAGTAGTAGAGCACTAGTCTTGAGAGCAAAATTATTCAGGGACAGCACCCAAGCCGGCCTGGAGTTCAAGCCTTATGACTTACAAAAACAAAAAACACAGTAGACAGTAGAATAACAGTAACAGTAGTATAGTGAGTGAAAGTCCTCTTTATAGTTCTTGTTATCCTTAAAGTGAACCTACTGAATATGTAAACTCAATTGCCCCCCCCCCCCCCAGGTGATTTATCTCAGTTTTCTGTCACCGACTTGGCAGGAAGTTATTTTCATATGGAGTTGCTTTCAAATAAACTTTCACTTTTTATTTAATTTACATTGTTCTTGTTACAAACTGTAACATAGTGACATTTTTTTGCAAGAAACTTTTGGTATAGTTGACTAAAAGTAGGATTGCATGGTCAAATGATAAATGATATAATTTTGTTGGCTGTTATCAAAATCTTTTCTGTACTTACATAATTTTTACATCCTCCCAGCAGTGTAGAATAATCTCATGTGGTAACACAGTAAAGGGGTTGGATTACCAGAAACTTTGGGGAAGTTCTGAAGGAAGGCACTGCTCAGTCACTATGTATACCTCAGAAGCTAGGTAAAGAGCTTTCAGAACTGAGATCTCTATGGCGAGGATGCAAGGGTGGTGCTGGCATATTAGGATATTATAGGGGTCTCCCTGAGAAAGCTGCTCCATGGCCTCTGAGGAAGCACAGCCCCATAGGTGCTGGTACCTTGGGGAGAACAGGATGTGTGTTCTAGGACTACTCAAGTGGACATAAGTGTAACACAGGGCTCTGTCCTTGGGTGAAGTGCACTCATTACTGAGGAGACAGTGACAAGAAGAGCAAGTTTTTTTTGTCTCTTTCCAACTCCTCTAGTGCCCCCTGTTGTCAGGAGTTAGAATTATTCAGGTAGCAAAGTAGAAATGTTATTTTTCCGAGTCTCAGAATTATATGGCAAAATATAGTTAGGTCTAGAAATGAGACAACAATGTCATTCATTAAAAGTGTAGTATTAGCCATAAAAGAGTGAATGGGACCCAGAAACACAACAAATCACAGAAAAGTTGGACAAATGGGATTGCATGAAGCTGCAGACCTTTGCATGGCAAAGGACATAGCTAGCAAGATCAAAAGAAAGCCCACGGACTGGGAGAAGATCTTCACTAGCCATACAACGGACAAGGGCCTCATATCTAAAATATACCTGGAACAAAAAATTAAATCCCCCAACAACAAATCCTCAAAGAAACAACTGCCCAATAAATAAGTGGGCTAAAGACTGAAAGAGAAACTTCTCTGAAGAGGAAATAAGAATGGCCCATAGACACATGAAGAAATGCTCAACCTCTCGAGCCATAAGAGAAATGCAAATCAAAACAACATTGAGATTCTACCTACCCCAGTTAGAATGGCTAGAATCAAGAAATCTAATAACAACAGATGCTGGAGGGGATGTGGCCAAAAGGGAACCCTACTGCATTGGTGGGAGTGTAAACTTGCTCAGCCACTTTGGAAAGTAGTATGGAGGTTCCTCAAAAGACTCCACATAGAACTCCCCTATAACCCAGCAATCCCACTTTGGAGCATCTACCCGAACAATCACAAACAAGACCATACTAAAGCTACCAGTACAACTATGTTTATTGCAGAATTATTTACCATAACTAAGATATGGAACCAACCCAGATGCCCCTCAGTAGATGAACAGATCAAGAAAATGTGGTATATATACACAATGGAGTTCTATGCCTCCATTAGAAAGAATGACATCGCCCCATTTGTTAGGAAATGGAAAGACTTGGGAAAAATTATATTAAGTGAAGCCAGGCCCAGAGAAACATAGGTCCTATGGTTTCCCTTATTTGCAATAACTAGTATATGTCTGGGACAAGCAGAAAACGTCAGATAAGATGATGTTAAGTGAAATGAATGTCAAGATAGGGACACAAGTGGTTTTTTCTTCCTTGCTATTATTTCTAACATATTTATAAAGTACCATGTGATTTTTTTTTTGTTGCTTTGTATGTCCCTCCCCCATGGTATAACCTCTGTTTTCACTATATTTGATGTTGGTATAATTTGGGGAAGGGAAGGGAAAAAATTGTTTAAATAGGGATACAAGAGGACCCATTGCAACAATGAGATGTACAAGACATTATGTGGAAAAATCAAACTTTACAATTTGGGGCGCAGTGGGGCGGGTAGCTGAGGAGGTGGGGAGGGAAGGGATGGTAGGGGAAAAAACAAAGGAGGAACCAACAATGCTGGATAAGAAATGTACTCATTACCTTGCTCATGTAACTGTAACCCCTCTGTACAGTATTTTCACAATAAAAAACTTAATTAAAAAAAGAGTGAATGGCAACAATCAATAAATAGACAAAGGAGCTAAATAGAGACTTCTCAGAAGAGGGAAGAATGGCCAATAAACACATGAGGAAATGCTCAACATCCCTGGCTATAAAGGAAACGCAAATCAAAACAATACTGAGATTCCATCTCATCCCAGTAATATTGGCTAGTGTCAAGAATATGAACAATAAGACAGCTTCGGAGACACAGCTGCCGCCGGCACAGCTGGAGACCGGAGCCAACCGTGGGGTCAGTCTGCGGCCCGCAGCCCCTTGATGAGTCGGAGGAGTCCCATGGTACAAGAATAAGATGGAGGGTAGCTTTGACTGTGATTGTGGTGAGCTGGAGCTACCTGATCACTAACAAGACATCTTCTGTCAGTCACCAGCCACAGGGCTTCCTGTTGAAATACAGCAGCAGAGGAAGAAAAGAAGCTAAACGGAACTAATGCTTACCAGTACCTTAGAACGATGCTGCTCAGGACCAGTCCAACACTGAATGTATCTGCACTGTGAGGAGAATGTTCATACAAGCCTGTCGTGTGCATATTTATTCACATTTTTGTTAAATGTTAAATCGTTTAGCACAGTAAATCTGAGTGCATAGTATGTCATTTCATTCTGTTTGAGTTTCTGGAGTGTTTCTTTAAATGTCTGCAGAGCTGCTGCCCCTTTCTTGAACTATGAGTACTGCAATCTTTTTAAGTCTCAATATGAATAGAGATTTTTGAGTTTTAAATCTAAGAGGAACTCAACGGGCCTGGTTGGCATATGTAATGAATATCCAGAAAGCATCTCGCTGTGGAAGCATAGTTATTTTTCTTCTCCCTTTTTGAAAGATCTCTCCTTTTGATGCCAGTTTTCTTCCTTGTTTACACAAGTTCAACAATTGGAAAGGAAAAGGCAATAGTAAGGGTTTCAAAATGGCAGAAAAATTTGAAAGTCTCACGAACATTCATGGTTTTGATCTGGGCTCTAGGTATCTGGACTTAAAACCATTGGGTTGTGGAGGCAATGGCTTGGTTTTTTCAGACAATGACTGTGACAAAAGGGTAGCCATCAAGAAGATTGTTCTTACTGACCCCCCAGAGTGTCAGGCATGCCCTCTGTGAAATCAAAATTATTCGAAGACTTGACCATGACAACATTGTGAAAATGTTTGAAATTCTTGGTCCCACACAGACTTGGCTCATGTGCTAGAGCAGGGCCCTCTCCTGGAGGAGCATGCCAGGCTCTTCATGTACCAGCTGCTGCGCGGGCTCAAGTACATTCATTCTGCAATCGTACTGTACAGAGATCTCAAACCAGCTAATCTTTTCATCAATACGGAAGACTTGGTGCTGAAGATAGGTGACTTTGGTCTTGCGCGGATCATGGATCCTCATTATTCCCATAAGGGTCATCTTTCGGAAGGATTGGTTACTAAATGGTACAGATCCCCACGTCTTTTACTTTCTCCTAACAATTATATTAAAGCCATTGACATGTGGGCTGCAGGCTGCATCTTTGCTGAAATGCTGACTGGTAAAATCCTCTTTGCAGGTGCACATGAACTTGGACAGACGCAACTGATTTTAGAATCTATTCCTGTCGTCCATGAGGAGGATCCTCAGGAGCTTCTCAGCGTAATTCCCGTTTACATTAGAAATGACACGACTGAGCCACACAAACCCTTAACTCAGCTCTTTCCCAGAATTAGCTGAGAAGCACTGGGTTTCCTGGAGCAGATTCTGGCCTTTAGCCCCGTGGATGACTTGACTGTGGAGGAAGTGCTCTCTCATCCCTACATGAGTATTTCCTCCTTCCCCACATACGAGCCCATCTCCAGCCATCCTTTTCACATTGAAGATGAAGTGGATATTTTGCTTATGGATGAAATTCAGTCACATTTATAACTGGGAAAGGTACCATGACTGTCAGTTTTCTGAGCATGATTGGCCTATACACAACAATTTTGATATTGAAGAAGTTCAGCTTGACCTGAGAGCTCTGTCTGATGTCATGACGAAGAGGTGCAAGTGGACCCTCAGAAATACTTGGAGACCCAGAGAAGTATCTGGAGGACCTTGCTTTCAAAACCCATTACTCCACACAGCCCTGCTGGCAGTACCTGGACCACCACGAGAACAAGTACTGCGACCTGAAGTGTAGCCATACCTGTAACTACAAAATGAGGTCGTCCTGGTACCTTGACAACTTAGTGTGGAGAGAGCGAGGTTAACCATTATTACGAGCCCAAGCTTATTATTGACCTTTCCAACTGGAAAGAACAAAGCAAGACAAATTGGATAGGAGAGGCAAGTCCAAATGTGGGCAGAAAGGATTGGTGAAGGTCCAGATAGTGTTAGAGGAAGCCTCCCAGCAGTGGGCTGAGAAGGAGAGGGAGAAGAAGCAGGGGTTTGATTTCAAGTACTTCATTGCAGGAACTATTCAGCTCAGCTCGCAGCATGAGCCCACTGCTCATGTTGTTGACAAGTTAAATGACCTGAACAGCTCCGTGTCCCAGCTAGAATTGAAAAGTCTGATAGAAAAGTCAGTGATCCAGGAGAAGCAGGAGAAGGGGATGGCGAACCTGGCGCAGCTGGGGGCCTGGTACCAGTCGTCCTGGGACAGCCAGTTTGTGGGCAGCGGGGAGGAGTGCTTCCCATCAGTCAGTTCTGCTGCGAGGTCAGGAAGGACCAGCAGGCGGAGAAGGAAAACACGTCCACCACCTACTGGAGTGCTAGAAACTGAGCCAGAGGAAGAAGGCAGGCTCGGGGCCAGCCACAGCGGGGAATTCCTCTTTAACAAGCAGCTCCAGTCCATAGGCAGCCCCCAGTTTCCCAGCCCCATGGGGTCACCACTTCAGTGCAGGCCACCTAAACACCTTCTGCTCTGAAATCCTCCCCTCAAATTCCTCACAAGACACACAGCAGCATTCTGAAACACCTGAACTAAAATACTCAGCAGACATTTCCCTTCGTGTTTTTCATGAAATGTGTTTTGTCTTTATTACTAGTGTTTGTCATTTTTTTTTTACTTGAATCAGAAGGTATCATTTAGTAAGGAATTCGTTCTTGGTTCTTAAAACCCAGTCTTTTTTTTCCCTCTCCACGTGAGAGTTTTCATTTTAACTGGCATGCCGTTTGCTCTCACAGAATAGAGCAAGCTAATGCAATGCGGGGGAGGCGGGAGGGGGGCGAGTGTTCGGACACCGCATTCTCCAACTACAAGGAGCTGATTCACAGGAAACAAAAACCTGGCCTTGAAATTTACACAATGAGACTGTACATACTTGCATGAAAATGCCTATTTTTTTCCAAAAACATTTTTCATTCATTAGTATTTTCAAGTTTTTCATACTGTGCACATTTCTTAAAACACGTGAAACCAGCAGCAACTGAAAATGAATGCCGAGTTTGGTACACACGTGTTATCTACCTCAAGGTAACAAGTACGTGGCAGAACCAGTTCCATCACAGCGCCCACGGGGCGCCCTGTGCAGCAGCGTCACCGCCATTGTCTCAAGTGTTCTGATTCCTAGTGCATCACATCTATTTATTTTAGCAAATCAATCTGTTTTCGGTATTTAATTATAACAATTAACTCATTCAAAACCTTTACTTGCAACTACACTTTGTCCACGTGGCACTCTGGTTTGTTGCCTACCTAGCTGAACCTACAAGTCAGCTCATCCTACAGCTGCCATCTACTTCACCACTACTATGTGTTCATTTAAGTAAGTACTCACTGTGTATAGGAATTTGTATTTTGGAGGTGTTTGATCTATCTACAAAGAAAATTTAGGAATTACTTTATTATAAAATGCTCCTAGAAGTCTTGTGTTTATTTTTTAAAGCCTGTAACGTTAGGTACTCATTATGAGTTTCCCAGTTGTACATGGTAGACATTTGTTGTTTTTGCTGAATGATCTATTATTCCTCATCCCCAAGGCAAGCATGATAAACTAGGTTAAATGTAGCATGGGACAGCACAGTCTTAGAGTTGGTTCCATCTATTTTATTTGCTGAATACTGTCTGTATCTTTGGTTATCCTATTTGAAGAAAAAGGACAAATAAAATACAGCCAGAAAAAAAAAATATGAACAATAACAAACGCTGGAGGGGATGTGGGGGAAAAGGAACCCTGTTACACACTGGTGGGAATGTAAACAAGTACACACACTCTGGAAGGCGGATCGGAGATTCCTCAAAAAAATTAAAATAGAACTACCCGATGAGCCCGTCATACCACTTGTAGGCCTCTTAGAATATGGTAGACACTTGAACGTCCATGTTCACTGCTGCACAATTTATAACAGCCAAATCCTGCAAAAGCCAAGATACTTTACAAGAGTGGATCAAGAAAATGTGATCAAGAAAATGTATGTATATGCCACATCCAGTTACTCATCCATGAGAAAGAATAATGTCATTTGTAGGGAAATGGATGGATTTGCCTAGAACAAATCATGTTAAGTGAAATAAGTCAAGCTCAGAGAGAGATGGTACATGTTTTCTCTCATATGTGGAAACTAGATCTAAAATATAACCATATACAGGGCTTAATGCATTTACACACAAACTAAAGGAGGGTACTCTTAGGGGAATTCAAAGGTATAACTCCCCTGAACAACTGAAGTACTTTTTTTTATCAAAACAGTGGAAGTGGAAACATGCTTTGGGGTGTGAGCAATGAGGGGCAGACAGGAAAGCAGGGAGTAAGGATAAGCTAATATACTCACTCTATTCGATGTACATTACATGAAAAATGAACTATGAAACCTGAGGATAGGGAGGCCGAAAATGGGGAAAGTGAAGGGAAGAGTGACATTGAGAGGGGGAAATAGGGGAAAGAAAAGGAAGATGTGACATTGACTAAGAGTGGCTCTGTACTGATAACCTGACTTAAGGAACTATAGCCCTTTTGCATATAATTTAACAACAATGACAACAAAGAGTGAAAGAGAAAAATTAAAGCTGGCCAAGGCAGGAGTAATTTTAAATTCTCTTAGATGTTTCACATATATTGAATGGTTCAAAAAAAGATTCTCACATACACTGAATGCAAAACAAGGTAATTTGGTATGCAAGATAACCAATATGTAGGTATTTATTAATATATTTTATTCAATTAAAAGGGTAAGAGCTGTTTGGTTCAAGAATGTTATGTAGAAACTTAAATGAAGAAGAAAATATTACATAGTGACCAAAATTATTTCAAATACTACAAAAGTAGTTATGTACATATATGTAAATATAGGGATGGATAAACAAACATACATGAAATGCCAAAAAAGAATGAAACACATTTTTTCTCAAGTGTTTGTCCATCTTGATCCTAGCTGTATTTCTGTTCTGATTTCACTATGCTTCTGAGAACTCAGAAAAACTAGAATCCATAGGTTTTCCTCATCTTCTCATCTTCCTGAAGAAGAGAAAACAAGGCAGATTAGTAAGAACCCCAAACAAGTGCTTCTGCTATGGAAAACTTTTCCCCATACTAGTAAAAGGACAGTTTCCTTAAAACCTGCTTTGCCTGCACATGACGTGCTCACATGTCAGTGCTTTTCTTTAAAGTGTTTACTGTCCATGATTTACTCTGAAAATTTATATGATTTGGTTTTCTTGACATAAAACCTTCAGTTCAATGGAATCATTCTACGGGTATTTTTCTGTGACTAGCTTTTCTACTCAGTATCTTTACTCATTTTTAAACTTCTCTTTTCTAAGAACACTAAATATACTCATTTTATATTTTATACCTGATTCTGCCATCAGTTGTTTCTACTGGAACCTTGTCCCATGGTTTGTACACATGTGTTTTTCTTTACTTAAGTTAGCTGTTTGGGGCTGGGGGGGGGGGGGAGGGGGAGGAGGGGGAATGGAAAGGAATAGGAAGGGGAGGGAAACAAAGGAGGAGGCAACAATGTTTGATAAGAAATGTACTCATTACCTTGCCCACGTAATTGTAACCCCTCTGTACGGTATTTTCACACACACACACACACACACACACACACACACACACACACAGTTAGCTGTTCATTTACCTTGGAATTTGAGCTGTGGAAAATGTGCTGAATGGTGGGACAAAGTGATATTCACTTGACACTATGTTGAAAATGGGAAGGGGGGGGGGGGGCCCAGAGGGTAAGAGGTTTAGAAAGAAAGGAACTCAATACATGACTTCTGTAACTATAATCCCTTTGTATACCACCTTTACAATTAAAAAAAAAAAGTGTTGAGGCCTGAGATGAAGGAAAACTCCTGGAGAAAATATTTATATTGGCTCCTTAAAGACACAGGTGCACTACAATTCATGGATTCCTTAAACTAAATCCTCAGCTTGAAGGTTTTGTGCTTTCCAGTTATTAGGAATTCCAGTTATAATCTGCATAAGAGCTCAATATTGGTTATGAATTCTCAGAATACTTTTTTTTCTTCTCAATTCAGAAGTAGAGTTATTTTTTCAGGCTGAAGAAGCTAGGGAAGAGTTATTTTTAGCTTGCTGCACTACTAAGAGAGCAGCTCAACTTTACTAAAGAGAATCAACTGTTAAGACTCTTCATTTCAGCTGGACTCTAGGATTTATATCATGTACCCAGACTCATATGGCTGTGAATCTAGTGCTCTGCTTCACCTAGTTAGATAATTACCTTCAGGCAAAAGCCAATTTCAAGCTCCACTTACCCTTTCTGGGTTCATACTATCACTCAATCACAAATCTGAGCTTTTCTTACTTTTCTACTAGCTAATAAATGAACAAAAAAAAAATTTACCCAGTAATTTTACTTATTAAGAGAGTCAATTTGCCTAGTACTCTATGTTGCAAGAAGTAGCATTGTATTTCTTCTCTATATTTTACATATATGTACATGTTTTTGTATGAAATGTACTCATGGTCTCAAACTTAAAAGGTAGCAAAGACTACATGAATATTATTGTGGTCTTTGCTCCGTGTTGTACTCCTGCTTTGAGTTAAGCAGAATTGGAAAACTTTACAAAATATTGCAATGCACATCCAGTACACATACTGAATGATGGCAATCCAGTTGCTACTTTTTTCTTTGTTTTAGATTGGAAACGAAATATAGGTATATCAACATTTTCTGATTGCTCCCATAAATACCATCTCTCTCCCTCTTTTTTTTTTTTTTTTTGCCTTGAACTTAGGGCTGGGCATTGTCCCTGAGGTTCAAAGCCAGCAGGAGCAGAAAACTCTGTGAGACTCTTATCTCCAATAAACCACTAGAAAACCGGGAAGTGGCGCTGTAGCTCAAGCAGTAGAGCGCTCACCTTGAGCTAGGGCTGAGGGATGGCGCCCAAGCCCTGAGTTGAAGCCCCAGGACCGACCAAAAAAAAAAAAAAATTCTATTGGTGTGTTTGTTTGCTTGTTTATTTATTTATTTTGCTGGTACTGGGGTTGTAAATTCAGGGCCTTGAGCTTTTGCTGCTCAAGGCAGGTATTCCACCATTGAGCCATATTCCTTCCTCCTCCCACTGATTTTTTTTTCCGTGTGTGTGTGTGTGTGTGTGTGTGTGTGTGTGTGTGTGTGTGTGTGTGTGTGTGTGTGTGTGTGTGTGTGTGTGTGTGTGTGTGTGTGTGTGTGTGTTTAACTGGAGATAAGAATCTCAGACTTTTCAGGCTAGCTTTGAACAGGCTAGCTTTGAACCAAAATTCCCAAATCTCAGCCTGAGTAGCTAGGATCATAAGATGTGAGCCACATTACTTGGCTAAGAATACATGTCAACAATATTTAGGTTTTACTAATAGTTAGAAGTACTCAAACACTAATTCAGGAAATGCTTATAAAAACATGTGAAATAACTGAAATACTTGCCTTCTGAGGTCTGGCTCTTTGAAATTGAGAGATATACACCTTCTTTTTCTGTTTGGCAAGTCTGAAGATAGATCTTTAAACTCATTTTCCAATTGTGCAGTGTTATTTGAAATA